TTATCAACGACTTGGATGATGGACTCAAGGGCATCCTGATCAAATTTGCAGATGACACCAAACTGGGAGGGGTGGCTAACACCCCAGAGGACAGGATCACACTTCAAAACGACCTTGACAGATTAGAGAACTGGGCCAAAACAAACAAGATGAATTTTAACAGGGAGAAATGTAAAGTATTGCACTTGGGCAAAAAAAAAATGAGAGGCACAAGTACAAGATGGGTGACACCTGGCTTGAGAGCAGTACATGTGAAAAGGATCTAGGAGTCTTGGTTGACCACAAACTTGACATGAGCCAACAGTGTGACGCGGCAGCTAAAAAGCCAATGCAATTCTGGGCTGCATCAATAGGAGTATAGCATCTAGATCAAGGGAAGTAATAGTGCCACTGTATTCTGCTCTGGTCAGACCTCACCTGGAGTACTGTGTCCAGTTCTGGGCACCACAGTTCAAGAAGGACACTGACAAACTGGAACGTGTCCAGAGGAGGGCAACCAAAATGGTCAAAGGCCTGGAAACGATGCCTTATGAGGAACAGCTAAGGGAGCTGGGCATGTTTAGCCTGGAGAAGAGGAGGTTAAGGGGTGATATGATAGCCATGTTCAAATATATAAAAGGATGTCACATAGAGGAGGGAGAAAGGTTGTTTTCTGCTGCTCCAGAGAAGCGGACACGGAGCAATAGATCCAAACTACAAGAAAGAAGATTCCACCTAAACATTAGGAAGAACTTCCTGACAGTAAGAGCTGTTCGACAGTGGAATTTGCTGCCAAGGAGTGTGGTGGAGTCTCCTTCTTTGGAGGTCTTTAAGCAGAGGCTTGACAACCATATGTCAGGAGTGCTCTGATGGTGTTTCCTGCTCGGCAGGGGGTTGGACTCGATGGCCCTTGTGGTCTCTTCCAACTCTATGATTCTATGATTCTATGATTCTATGAAATCTGGGATGGTTTGGGGGCTGAAGCTCACTGAAAGCAAAGAATCCCTGTGTAAGAACATCCTTGTTGGGAACTGACATTTCTTTTACCCCAAATTCTTTGATTTATTTTCATCACACACTTTCTCTATACAATATACATCTCATTCATTCATTCATTCATTGATTGATTCATTCATTGCAGTCTCCCCTAAAAGTTTCCCCTAAAAGTTGTTTTCAGGGGGCATACACAGTTCTTCCTCACCTCATGCAATCCCCACAACAATCCTGGGATACAGGTCAGCCTGAGAGTCGGAGACTGGCCCAAGGTCACCCAGAGAGCTTCTGAGAACATTTTAGGATCCTGCCCTCTGCTGAGTATTGGTATATACTCCAGGCAACTGCCAGTATTATTGGATGTGTGTTGTGACATTCCTGGTAGCAGAATTGTGTCTAACATTTTGGCACACAGGAGCAGCAGTTAATGCTACCAAATGGGGAATAATTTACTTCTTAGACAGTTTTTGCAGCTGAAAGGCACATTTCAATTAGAGCTGTCTCAGCAACTTGATTTCTCCTTTCAAGGAAGTTGCATCATCATCATCATCATCATCATCATCATCATAAATTATTATTTATACCCCGCCCATCTGGCTGAATTTCCCCAGCCACTCTGGGCGGCTCCCAATCAAGTGTTAAAAACAGTACAGCATTAAATATTAAAACTTCCCTGAACAGATGTCTTTTAAAAATAGGATAGCTGCTTATTTCCTTCACATCTGAAGGGAGGGTGTTTCACAGGGTGGGCGCCACTACCGAGAAGGCCCTCTGCCTGGTTCCCTGTAACCTCACTTCTCACAATGAGGGAACTGCCAGAAGGCCCTCAGCGCTGGATTTCAGTGTCCGGGCTGAACGATGGTCCGGGCTGATAAGAATGGCAGGTAGGATGCAGGGACTGCCTGGACCAGGAAGCAACTTGCTCTTGAGTGCTTCTGCAGAATAAATCCTGATCCGCCATCTTCCGGGAAGCAGGGTCACTTCTCTAGTTGGCACCCTTTTTATACGTATAGCTTCTGGGTTGCTCTATCCCTTTGGAGTCATGCACATGAAGAAAGATCTCAGTCTGTTGATATAGGCAGGGCAATGAGACCTAGTTCTGTTACGGCTGAGCCAAGTGGGACCATACAGTCACCAAACCTGGATAGTCTTGCCATTGTGACTCATGCAAAGCTGGACTTGTGTAATGTGCTCTATGTGGAGCTGTCCTTAAGGCTACCTTTTTTTTTTACTGGCAGCCAAGAAGCCACTAAGCCATCCTTATAGTCTTGGGTGTTGATGCATGCAGGCCTAACACTGTGGGATCAAGTTTCTTCAAGGAGTGCCTTTCCCCATATGGCTCTACTCTGTCACTACTATTGCCACAACCCATGAAGGCTCTTTAGTGGTGCCCTCTCTTTGCTCCCTCTAAAAGACACTTTTCATAGAATCATAGAAGAGTTGGAAGGGACCATTTTAGAACTTACAAAAGACAAAGAAAATGGAAAAGCCATCACATATTCTCACAGTTTTTATTTTCAATTTTTCCATGGCCAGGTTCTACCAGACATCAAATGCCTGCATAAATTAAATTGTTTCTTGGAGGCCCCAAATAAAATTCTGACTACTGAGAAAGAAGCATCTGTTAGTCTTATGGAACCTCTTGCCCCTAAACCACTAGCTTAGTTTTTGTATTTACTTTGGAAAGGTAACAGATTTTTATTTACAGTTTGTTTGTTTGTTTGTTTGTTTGTTTGTTTGTTTTCTGTAAGTAAGAATACAACTTTTTCATATATGATGTATAACTAAAACACAAATATTACTAGAAGATGTTGTGGAAATGGCCATTAGCTTTGATTGTATACTACTGGGCAAGGGGGACCCCCAGGGCCAAAGAATGCATCAAAGAGACAACTCCAAACTTGCAAGGAGATCTGATGTTGATTTCCTTACCATCACCATCAACACCTTGGGAATTCCTTAGTTAGTAGGGCCAAAGAATGGTGGGAAGGGATGGTGCCAAACCTCAGGAGGCCTTTGGAATGGTGATGATGGGGCCCCACCATGCCACACCCCAGCCAGGCTGGATAGAGGACTATAATTTAATTGTAGAGCAATTGTAGTTATAGGGGCTGTGATTCGGTAATAAAATGTGTATGTTGTATTTTATGAATTTCACGTAAAATAGGAAGCTGCCACCATGAATGGGAGCAGAGCTTGGCTCACATTCAAAAGTTTCTTTATTTGCCAGCTTGTGACTGGATGCTCCTTTTGACTCAGGTGCATAAGGATGAGAATGCCAGTGCCCTCCCTGTTGGATGGGAGATTGGTTTGAGCTTCTCTGTGTTGACTGTTGCTTATGAGACATATGAGACATAGGAATAATGGGTCATTGCAATCATTGCAGTGGAGAGCATTCAGCTGAGCCAACCTGCTTGAAAAGGAATGGAACTGATGACCTAACCACTTCCTTAACTCCATCACTTCCTTAAAACTGACTAGTGATGGATTATGAGCATCCTTGGCATGCTTACACATGTGGACACTGAAAGGCAGTTATGGTACTGATTCAATTCAGTGAGGTCAGTCGTTCCACCCAGGTTGCAGAGATTGTATCCCTAGCCCTTGAGTTGATATCAATATGGCCTCTACTGGAGAGATGCAATTGATTAAAATTGAGGTGTCATTTATGCTGGAACAAAGGGAGCAAGGCATTTTCAGGAACATGCCCCCTATTCAAACCATTTTAAACATGTTTTGATGAGTGCAAGATTAAGCTCTCAGTGTAACAAAGAGCCCCAGTTCCCCTTGGTCTGAAGGCAAAATGCAGTGTAGCTAAAGAAAGAACAGCAAGAAAGGAGGAAGAGCAGCATTCTGAACAACCTTGTCAGTAAAGATAAAGGTGCGGGGACCCCTGACCATTAGGACCAGTCGTGACCGACTCTGGGGTTGCGGTGCTCATCTCGCTTTATTGGCCGAGGGAGCCGGCGTACAGCTTCCGGGTCATGTGGCCAGCATGACTAAGCCGCTTCTGGCGAACCAGAGCAGCACACGGAAACGCCGTTTACCTTCCGGTTGGAGCGGTACCTATTGATCTACTTGCACTTTGACGTGCGTTCGAACTGCTAGGTTGGCAGGAGCAGGGACCGAGCAACAGGAGCTCACCCCATCGTGGGGATTCGAACCACTGACCTTCCAATCGGCAAGTCCTAGGCTCTGTGGTTTAAGCCACAGCGCTACCCGCATCCCACGTCAGTAAAGATACTGACCCATAAAATGCAACTTGCTTCTATTGGAAGATAATCCTTATATATTTTTTCTCCACAGGCAGATCTCTATAAAAAACAGGTTTGACGTCACATCCTAGCAGCAGGTGGTTTCTTCAAGCCTGCTTAATCTGTGGCATTACATTTAAGAGTCCCAGGGACCACCACTTGACATCTTTGTTATGTGTGATGGCTGACAGTGTGGATGGCTGCATCCATCTCTTAAAAATGGCCCACAAGCATTGAAAGATATACAGTAAATGTCCAATTCAGTGGTTGGACAAAGTTCCCCATCAAATGCAAAGTGGGGGGAAAGTCTTGTTGCAGCAATTTTTATCCAAAATGCATTTAAGAAGCAGTAAACCCCTTTCAATACAGGGGAACTTACATGTGCATAAATATACTTATGGTTCTCATGTAGCTTGTGAATTTTATCCAAACACCTAGAAGAGTAGTGCAAAAAAAAGGGGGGGAATGCAAATCATTCTAAAGCCAATTTCAGGAGCACATTTGCAGAGTATGTATATGAGTCAATACCCAAACATCAGACATGGACATTTAATATACATGTATCGTTTCCGATTACATTTATTTTGAGAAGAAAGAAATCTCACTATATTTTGCAGCAATACAAGCCTGAAGAAACGATCCATTTTCTTTCAAATTTCCGGAACATGCGATCCCACTTTCTTTCTATATCATCTATTCATTACCTCTCGGTTGAAACACAAGTGCTTTGGTTTTCTATTTTCAGGAAATTAACACGTATTTGGCCTTCTCTCTTTAGGAGGCATTGATCTCATTGATTAATTGGTGGAGAGAAGCACTAATCCCTTGGCCTTCTATGTTGAGGGTAATGTGATTTATTTCCCCTTCTCTTTGAACGATGGCATTGATGCTTTCCACTAATCTCCTGAGAGAATCATTGGTCCCTTCGCCTTCTATGGTGATTGTAAAATGAATCAGCTGGTTACTCTGTCCTTTGCCTTCCATGCGCAGAGAATAACGCGTTAATTGTCCTTCCTTGCGAAGAAAAGCTTTGATCATTTTGACGAATCTCTTTAGAGAAGATTGATCCCCTTGGCCTTGTATCTTCAATGTGAACTGGGCCTGCTGGCCTCCTTCACTGGGTACAGAGCCGATAAAATTCTGCCTGTTTTTCAGGGAAGCATTTAATTCTTGGATTAATTGGTCGAGAGAAGAGCCAATCCCTTGGCCTTCTATGTTGAGGGTAACGTGATATATTTTCTCTTCTTCTTCAAGGATTGCATTGATGCTTTCCACTAATCTCCTGAGAGAATCATTGGTCCCTTCGCCTTCTATGGTGATTGTAAAATGAATCAGCTGGTTACTCTGTCCTTTGCCTTCCACGCGCAGAGAATAACGCGTTAATTGTCCTTCCTTGTGAAGAAAAGCTTTGATCATTTTGACGAATCTCTTTAGAGAAGATTGATCCCCTTGGCCTTGTATCTTCAACGTGAACTGGGCCTGCTGGCCTCCTTCGCTGGGTACAGAGCCGATAAAATTCTGCCTGTTTTTCAGGGAAGCATTTAATTCTTGGATTAATTGGTGGAGAGAAGAGCCAATCCCTTGGCCTTCTATGTTGAGGGTAACGTGATATATTTTCTCTTCTTCTTCAAGGATTGCATTGATGCTTTCCACTAATCTCCTGAGAGAATCATCAGTCCCTTCACCTTCTATGGTGATTGTAAAATGAATCAGCTGGTTACTCTGTCCTTTGCGTTCCACACGCAGAGAATAATGCTTTAATTGTCCTTCCTTGCGAAGAAAAGCTTTGATCATTTTGACGAATCTCTTTAGAGAAGATTGATCCCCTTGGCCTTGTATCTTCAACGTGAACTGGGCCTGCTGGCCTCCTTCGCGGGGTACAGAGCCGATAAAATTCTGCCTGTTTTTCAAGGAAGCATTTAATTCTTGGATTAATTGGTGGAGAGAAGGACTAATTCCTTGGCCTTGTATGCTGAGGTTAATGTGAGTCATTTTGTCTTCTTCTTCAAGGATTGCATTGACATTTTCCACTAACTTCCTGACAGAAGCATCAGGCCCTTGTCCATCTACAGTGACAGTAAAATGAATCACCTGGTTGCCCAGGCTTTTGCCTTTCATGCTCACAGAATAATCCATTATTTCCATTTCCTTGCCAAGCAAAGCCTTGATCTTTCTGACGAATCTCTTTAGAGTAGCATCATCACCTTGGCCTTGTATTTTAAAGGTAAACGGGATCCTCGGGATTCCTTCTTCGAGTGGAGGAACATCAACATTAGGCTTTTTGTTCAGGGAATCGTTGAACTCCTCGATTATTTGGTGGAGAGAAGGACTAATTCCTTGGCCATGTATGCTGAGGTTAATGTGAGTCATTTTGTCTTCTTCTTCTTCAAGGATTGCATTGACATTTTCCACTAACTTCCTGACAGAAGAATCAGGCCCTTTTCCATCTATAGTGACAGTAAAATGAATGACCTGGTTGCCCAGGCTTTTGCCTTTCATGCTCACAGAATAATCCATTATTTCCATTTCCTTGCCAAGCAAAGCCTTGATCTTTCTGACGAATCTCTTTAGAGTAGCATCATCACTTTGGCCTTGTATTTTAAAGGTAAACGGTATCCTTGGGATTCCTTCTTCGAGTGGAGGAACATCAACATTAGGCTTTTTGTTCAGGGAATCATTGAACTCTTCGATTATTTGGTGGAGAGAAGGACTAATTCCTTGGCCTTGTATGCTGAGGTTAATGTGAGTCATTTTGTCTTCTTCTTCTTCAAGGATTGCATTGACATTTTCCACTAACTTCCTGACAGAAGAATCAGGCCCTTTTCCATCTACAGTGACAGTAAAATGAATGACCTGGTTGCCCAGGCTTTTGCCTTTCATGCTCACAGAATAATCCATTATTTCCATTTCCTTGCCAAGCAAAGCCTTGATCTTTCTGACGAATCTCTTTAGAGTAGCATCATCACTTTGGCCTTGTATTTTAAAGGTAAACGGGATCCTCACAATTCCTTCTTCGAGTGGAGGAACATCAACATTAGGCTTTTTGTTCAGGGAATCATTGAACTCCTCGATTATTTGGTGGAGAGAAGGACTAATTCCTTGGCCATGTATGCTGAGGTTAATGTGAGTCATTTTGTCTTCTTCTTCTTCAAGGATTGCATTGACATTTTCCACTAACTTCCTGACAGAAGAATCAGGCCCTTTTCCATCTACAGTGACAGTAAAATGAATCACCTGGTTGCCCAGGCTTTTGCCTTTCATGCTCACAGAATAATGCATTATTTCCATTTCCTTGACAAGCTTAGCCTTGATCTTTCTGACGAATCTCTTTAGAGTAGCATCATCACTTTGGCCTTGTATTTTAAAGGTAAACGGGATCCTCGGGATTCTTTCTTCGAGTGGAGGAACATCAACATTAGGCTTTTTGTTCAGGGAATCATTGAACTCCTCGATTATTTGGTGGAGAGAAGGACTAATTCCTTGGCCTTGTATGCTGAGGTTGATGTGAGTCATTTTGTCTTCTTCTTCTTCAAGGATTGCATTGACATTTTCCACTAACTTCCTGACAGAAGAATCAGGCCCTTGTCCATCTACAGTGACAGTAAAAGGAATGACCTGGTTGCGCAGGCTTTTGACTTTCATGCTCACAGAATAATCCATTATTTCCATTTCCTTGCCAAGCAAAGCCTTGATCTTTCTGACGAATCTCTTTAGAGTAGCATCATCACTTTGGCCTTGTATTTTCAAGGTAAACGGGATCCTCACAATTCCTTCTTCGAGTGGAGGAACATCAACATTAGGCTTTTTGTTCAGGGAATCGTTGAACTCCTCGATTATTTGGTGGAGAGAAGGACTAATTCCTTGGCCATGTATGCTGAGGTTAATGTGAGTCATTTTGTCTTCTTCTTCTTCAAGGATTGCATTGACATTTTCCACTAACTTCCTGACAGAAGAATCAGGCCCTTTTCCATCTACAGTGACAGTAAAATGAATCACCTGGTTGCCCAGGCTTTTGCCTTTCATGCTCACAGAATAATCCATTATTTCCATTTCCTTGCCAAGCAAAGCCTTGATCTTTCTGACGAATCTCTTTAGAGTAGCATCATCACTTTGGCCTTGTATTTTAAAGGTAAACGGGATCCTCGGGATTCCTTCTTCGAGTGGAGGAACATCAACATTAGGCTTTTTGTTCAGGGAATCATTGAACTCCTCGATTATTTGGTGGAGAGAAGGACTAATTCCTTGGCCATGTATGCTGAGGTTAATGTGAGTCATTTTGTCTTCTTCTTCTTCAAGGATTGCATTGACATTTTCCACTAACTTCCTGACAGAAGAATCAGGCCCTTTTCCATCTACAGTGACAGTAAAATGAATGACCTGGTTGCCCAGGCTTTTGCCTTTCATGCTCACAGAATAATGCATTATTTCCATTTCCTTGCCAAGCTTAGCCTTGATCTTTCTGACGAATCTCTTTAGAGTAGCATCATCACTTTGGCCTTGTATTTTAAAGGTAAACGGTATCCTTGGGATTCCTTCTTCGAGTGGAGGAACATCAACATTAGGCTTTTTGTTCAGGGAATCATTGAACTCTTCGATTATTTGGTGGAGAGAAGGACTCATTCCTTGGCCTTGTATGCTGAGGTTAATGTGAGTCATTTTGTCTTCTTCTTCAAGGATTGCATTGACATTTTCCACTAACTTCCTGACAGAAGAATCAGGCCCTTTTCCATCTACAGTAACAGTAAAATGAATGACCTGGTTGCGCAGGCTTTTGCCTTTCATGCTCACAGAATAATCCATTATTTCCATTTCCTTGCCAAGCAAAGCCTTGATCTTTCTGACGAATCTCTTTAGAGTGGCATCATCACTTTGGCCTCGTATTTTAAAGGTAAACGGGATCGTCGGGATTCCTTCTTCGAGTGGAGGAACATCAACATTAGGCTTTTTGTTCAGGGAATCATTGAACTCTTCGATTATTTGGTGGAGAGAAGGACTAATTCCTTGGCCATGTATGCTGAGGTTAATGTGAGTCATTTTGTCTTCTTCTTCAAGGATTGCATTGACATTTTCCACTAACTTCCTGACAGAAGAATCAGGCCCTTTTCCATCTACAGTGACAGTAAAATGAATCACCTGGTTGCCCAGGCTTTTGCCTTTCATGCTCACAGAATAATCCATTATTTCCATTTCCTTGCCAAGCAAAGCCTTGATCTTTCTGACGAATCTCTTTAGAGTAGCATCATCACTTTGGCCTTGTATTTTAAAGGTAAAGCGGGATCCTCACAATTCCTTCTTCGAGTGGAGGAACATCAACATTAGGCTTTTTGTTCAGGGAATCGTTGAACTCCTCGATTATTTGGTGGAGAGAAGGACTAATTCCTTGGCCATGTATGCTGAGGTTAATGTGAGTCATTTTGTCTTCTTCTTCTTCAAGGATTGCATTGACATTTTCCACTAACTTCCTGACAGAAAAATCAGGCCCTTTTCCATCTACAGTGACAGTAAAATGAATCACCTGGTTGCCCAGGCTTTTGCCTTTCATGCTCACAGAATAATGCATTATTTCCATTTCCTTGCCAAGCAAAGCCTTGATCTTTCTGACGAATCTCTTTAGAGTAGCATCATCACTTTGGCCTTGTATTTTAAAGGTAAACGGGATCCTCGGGATTCTTTCTTCGAGTGGAGGAACATCAACATTAGGCTTTTGTTCAGGGAATCATTGAACTCCTCGATTATTTGGTGGAGAGAAGGACTAATTCCTTGGCCTTGTATGCTGAGGTTGATGTGAGTCATTTTGTCTTCTTCTTCTTCAAGGATTGCATTGACATTTTCCACTAACTTCCTGACAGAAGAATCAGGCCCTTTTCCATCTACAGTGACAGTAAAAGGAATGACCTGGTTGCCCAGGCTTTTGACTTTCATGCTCACAGAATAATCCATTATTTCCATTTCCTTGCCAAGCAAAGCCTTGATCTTTCTGACGAATCTCTTTAGAGTAGCATCATCACTTTGGCCTTGTATTTTAAAGGTAAACGGTATCCTTGGGATTCCTTCTTCGAGTGGAGGAGCATCAACATTAGGCTTTTTGTTCAGGGAATCATTGAACTCCTCGATTATTTGGTGGAGAGAAGGACTAATTCCTTGGCCTTGTATGCTGAGGTTAATGTGAGTCATTTTGTCTTCTTCTTCTTCAAGGATTGCATTGACATTTTCCACTAACTTCCTGACAGAAGAATCAGGCCCTTGTCCATCTACAGTGACAGTAAAATGAATGACCTGGTTGCCCAGGCTTTTGCCTTTCATGCTCACAGAATAATGCATTATTTCCATTTCCTTGCCAAGCAAAGCCTTGATCTTTCTGACGAATCTCTTTAGAGTAGCATCATCACTTTGGCCTTGTATTTTAAAGGTAAACGGGATCCTCACAATTCCTTCTTCGAGTGGAGGAACATCAACATTAGGCTTTTTGTTCAGGGAATCGTTGAACTCCTCGATTATTTGGTGGAGAGAAGGACTAATTCCTTGGCCATGTATGCTGAGGTTAATGTGAGTCATTTTGTCTTCTTCTTCTTCAAGGATTGCATTGACATTTTCCACTAACTTCCTGACAGAAGAATCAGGCCCTTTTCCATCTACAGTGACAGTAAAATGAATCACCTGGTTGCGCAGGCTTTGCCTTTCATGCTCACAGAATAATGCATTATTTCCATTTCCTTGCCAAGCAAAGCCTTGATCTTTCTGACGAATCTCTTTAGAGTAGCATCATCACTTTGGCCTTGTATTTTAAAGGTAAACGGGATCCTCGGGATTCTTTCTTCGAGTGGAGGAACATCAACATTAGGCTTTTTGTTCAGGGAATCATTGAACTCCTCGATTATTTGGTGGAGAGAAGGACTAATTCCTTGGCCTTGTATGCTGAGGTTGATGTGAGTCATTTTGTCTTCTTCTTCTTCAAGGATTGCATTGACATTTTCCACTAACTTCCTGACAGAAGAATCAGGCCCTTGTCCATCTACAGTGACAGTAAAAGGAATGACCTGGTTGCCCAGGCTTTTGACTTTCATGCTCACAGAATAATCCATTATTTCCATTTCCTTGCCAAGCAAAGCCTTGATCTTTCTGACGAATCTCTTTAGAGTAGCATCATCACTTTGGCCTTGTATTTTAAAGGTAAACGGTATCCTTGGGATTCCTTCTTCGAGTGGAGGAACATCAACATTAGGCTTTTTGTTCAGGGAATCATTGAACTCTTCGATTATTTGGTGGAGAGAAGGACTAATTCCTTGGCCTTGTATGCTGAGGTTAATGTGAGTCATTTTGTCTTCTTCTTCTTCAAGTATTGCATTGACATTTTCCACTAACTTCCTGACAGAAGAATCAGGCCCTTGTCCATCTACAGTGACAGTAAAATGAATGACCTGGTTGCGCAGGCTTTTGCCTTTCACGCTCACAGAATAATCCATTCTTTCCATTTCCTTGCCAAGCAAAGCCTTGATCTTTCTGACAAATCTCTTTAGAGAAGCGTCATCCCCTTGGCCCTTTATCTTCAATGTAAACATGACCCTCTTGTGTACTTCGTTTGGGAAATTAATATCTTCATGAGGCTTGTTGTTCAGGGAACTATTGATCTCATTTATTAATTGGTGGAGAGAAGTACCAATCTCTTGGCCTTCTATTTCGAAGGTAATATGAGTCATTTTCTCTTCTTCTTTGAAGGAAGGCACTGATGTTTTCCACCAATCTCCTTAGAGCAGCATTAGTCCCATGACCTTCTGTCGTGAGAGTAAAATGAATCATCTGATTGTCCTGCCTTTGTCCTTTCATCTTCAGAGAGTAATCGTTTATTTCCTTATCCTTGCCAAGAAAAGCCTTGATCTTTTCGACAAATCTCTTTAGAGAAGCGTCATCCCCTTGGCCCTTTATCTTCAATGTAAACATGACCCTCTTGTGTACTTCGTTTGGGAAATTAATATCTTCATAAGGCTTGTTGTTCAGGGAACTATTGATCTCATTTATTAATTGGTGGATAGAAGTACCAATCTCTTGGCCTTCTATTTCGAAGGTAATATGAGTCATTTTCCCTTCTCTTTGAAGGAAGGCACTGATGTTTTCCACCAATCTCCTTAGAGCAGCATTAGTCCCATGACCTTCTGTCGTGAGAGTAAAATGAATCATCTGATTGCCCTGCCTTTGTCCTTTCATCTTCAGAGAGTAATCGTTTATTTCCTTATCCTTGCCAAGAAAAGCCTTGATCTTTTCGACAAATCTCTTTAGGGAAGCATCATTCCCTTGGCCCTTTATCTTCAATGTAAACTTTACCTGCTGGCCTCCTTCGGTTGGGAAATTATTAACCTCATGAGGCCTGTTATTCAGGGAACTGTTGATCTCATTTATTAATTGGTGGATAGAAGGACCAATCCCTTGGCCTTCTATGTTGATGGTACTGTGAGTTATTTGGCCTTCTGTCTGAAGCATGGCATTGATGTTTTCAACTAATCTCTTGATAGAAGCATCAGCCCCATTGCCTTGCATGGTTAATTTAAAAAGCAATGTCTGATGCCCAAGGCTTTGGCTTTGCAGTTTCACAGAATAATGATTTATTTCCCCATCCTTGGTAAGAAAAGCTTTAATCTCGTTGACTAATCTCTTCAGAGAAACATCATCCCCTTGGCCTTGTATGTTCAGGATAAAATCAACTCCCATATGTCCATTGTTGTTTGGAGAGTCAATCCTTTCATTATCCGTGGAAGTATTGTTTAGTTCACCATATGTGCTAATTAAGGCATTGATTTCTTGGACTAATCTTTTGACAGAAGCTTCAGTCCCTTTACCTTTTATGGTGATTATGAATCCCTCCCCATCATCTTCTCTATTGTGAAAACCGCCATTGTCTTTTTTTCCTATATTAATAGAAGTATCACTTATTTCAACATTTTTGTAAAGGAGAGCTTTGAGGTCTTCAACAAATCTCTGGAGAGAAGCACGAGTCCCTTGGACTTGTATATTAAGTGTAAAATCGGATATCTGGATTTCTCTCTTGTGCTCAGCATTCATAACTTGGTCTTCTACTGTCCGGGGCAAATGAGTGAAGCAATCAACTGTAAAGAAATTAAAAAAGGTATTGTGAAGCAAATGCTTTTTCTTAAATTCCAACATACCGGGCACCATACATCATGTCTATTAATTCCATTTCTGCCAGGTTACTATCATTTAAATAGAAAAGATATGTATATTGCATATATTTTCTAATTTTGACAATACTTAGCAAGCATATAGTGCTTTTGAATGTCTCATTTCTATATCTGATTGTAACTTTTCCAACTATTCCTCTCAGCTCAATTAGTGTTATTCTCTACCTAGTGCAAATGGGAGAATAGCTATTCTAGAACCAACCAGTGGAATCTGTGCAGAGGCTAAAGTTGATCCAGGGCCTTCTGCACTTCTTGTTCACTCTCTAAACCACAAGCTCTCATTGTCATCTGCCAGGTGTTACTCCATTTTTTAGATCAAAATATATTTTAAGGACCTCTTCTAGTTACATAGCATTTTGTGAATACAGTGGTTCCTCAGGTTAAAAACGTAATTCGTTCTGGAGGTCCATTCTTAACCTGAGACTGTTCTTAACCTGAGGTACCACTTTAGCTAATGGGGCCTCCCGCTGCTGCTGTGCCATTTCTGTTCTCATCCTGAAGCAAAGTTCTTAACCCAAGGTACTATTTCTGGGTTAGTGGAGTCTGTAACCTGAAGCATCTGTAACCTGAAGTGTCTGTAACCTGAGGTACCACTGTATTCATAGAATCATAGAACTGTCCACCTGGGAAAAATCAACAGGATTTTATTTCTAAGACAGCTACATCATTTTCACATGTACTACTGGTTTACATCTGTATAGTCCTGCCTAAGTGTGGAAACCTGTATCTGTCACTGTGGATTTTTTTTTGGGGGGGGGGGTTAGTGTTGGCCCTATTCTCCAATGCGTTAAAGCAACTCGAATCTGTATTTTATCTTTTGTGGTATTAGATGCAGATTACATGACCACCCTCTCAATTACTTCAACCAAATTGTTTATAAAGCCATTGAACAAGGGGCCCAGGAGATAACCCTGTAGTTTTTGAGAGTGGCTGGGGAAACCCACCCATATGGATGGAGTATAAATAATAAGTTGTTGTTGTTGTTGTTGTTATCATCATTATTATATACATAGGTGAGCACTCTTTGGGTTTGGTCAACCAACTACAAATCTAGCCCACATTTTACCAACTTCTTTGCAATAATATCTCGGCGGACTTACTGTAATCAAGATAGGCTAGATCAACAACATTCTCTTGATTCCCCCAAGCTATGTCTCATAGACCAACTGTTTAATTATTGGTTCTATTATTTTCTGCTATCAATGTCATGTGGACTGGTTGGTAGTTGCCTGGGTCTCCCCCCCCCTTTTTTTTTTGAAGATAGGGAATTTGCCTGCCTCCAGTCCACAGTGACAAAGAATTCTCAAAGTTTATAGACAGAGTCTTTGACATTACACCTGCAGTTTCCTTTAATGTTGAATTCATTTGAAATGGTTAGTTATGTATTTGCCACCTCTATTTCCATCTTGCATTGCAGCTTCCACCATATATCATTTTTTCAATCTGTATTGTTACATAAAATAACGTTGCCACACATAGGCTCTATACTTAATTTGCCACCATACAGCAATAAGTGCTTTTTCAGTTATCATGTGTCAGGAACATGGCCCCCCAGAGCTCAAGGGAAGCGTTAGACTCAGAAATTAGACTCGGAAATTGAACTAAGTGCACAAGGGATCAACTCTGCAGATGAGAGCAGTTTGACCTTCCCATGGAAGACTCTCAAGGGGAGGAAGAGTTGAATCACAGCCTGAGGGTTTCTAGGCAATCAGTAGATAAGCAGGGCTCTGAATCTGTGTTGAGTGGATGTGGGGAGGAGGCAGGCCAACCTCTCAGTCCCCGTTCTAGGCAACTTGAGAAGATCAGAGGGCAACGGAAGGGTAAGAGGGGAGAGGCTGGAGTTTGGCATCCTTCTTGCTGTGGGAGGGGTGAAAATTCAGACTGACCAACTATCGTAAATGAGAGCAGGCAAGAAACCGTGCTCTGGAAGTGTCTTTTTGTAAATAAACGTGCATAAAGTTGCTGGAGAGTCATTACTTCTTATCGGACCTTGCTTACCTGCCAGAGATCATTATTGCTTGGTTAGTCTCTAACTCCAACAAGGCTGGGAAAATAGGTGATATGTCTGAGGGGCAACACGCTACTGCTGCTGATGCAGTTGCAGGCCCTGGGACACATGGAGATGCAACTAGTCAGCTACAGGTACTATTCCAACAGAATTTAGAACTAAAGACTCAAATTGACCAATTAGCAGGGTCATTTAATCAACAGTGGCAGCAAGTGTCAGAAGAAAAGGACAGAAGAGCCGCCAGGTTGCCTACTGGGCCCCCCTTCCAAGTTTTCAGGGAAGAACTCTGAATATTTAGTGTTCAAAAGCAGTCTGAAGTGGTTTTTTGAACAGAGAGACAAAGAATTTCGGACTGAAAGTGAGAAGGTGTTTCTCGTGGTTGGTTTGCTGGAGGGGGAGACCCTCCTTGTAGATGGACCCTGAGGCTTGTCAGATCTGGACTCGTTCCTGAAACTAATGGATGCAATGTTCCAGGACCCCCAATTTTGGCTGCTGCTTCCCGACAATTACTGAGTTTAAAACAAGGGAGTAAAACTGGGATGCAATACACCATGGAATTTAGTATGTTATCCCAGCAATTGAGATGGGGAGAGAAGGCAATCACGGCATTATATCGAGCCGGGCTGAACCGAGACTTGATGGATGAGCTAGCCAGGTTGCCCCGCCCCTTCTTCCTTGGAAGGTCTGATAAAAACATTGCTACAATTAGATCAACGTGTGATAGAACACAAGGCGGAGAGGAGGGGGCTGGGCAGACCATCGTTCAAGATGGCCAACATTCCTGACATTCCCATGCGAACGTTTGGCAGTAGGCACAGGGAGGAACTATGGGGAAACCCATGCAGCTTGGCTCAGTGGGAGGCAGGCTCCAGATGTCGCTGGCAGAGTGAGAAAGGAGAAGAGAGAGGCTGTGCTTTGTCTGTGGCAAAGCAAATCACATATCAAGGCAGTGCCCTAGCAGAGGGGCAGTGGGGTCACTATTAGGGGCAAGTGGGGGGGAGAAACCCGACCCTAATGAGAAGCAGGTGGGAAACGAAAGGTCCCAGTCCCTCTCGGAGGCCCAGGACTAAGAGTAAGGTTAGCCAAAGGGCCTCAACCAGGTCCAGTGATTCCTGGGCTCCCCATGCTTGCCGTACTACAGTTCCTAGCATCCTTTGGGGGTCGAGATGCCAGCTAGCTAGCCCCCAGCTGGATCATGCCCTTCCAGCCGTGACGATACCCCGATCTCTGGTGCAATGTAAATCAGAGACTCAGACTTCAAAAGCCTGAGCACGCTATATTAGCAGAGCATACTGTGCAAACAGAACAGGTATGAGGCTTGTGGAAACATACTAACAGCTAAAGATTTACTGAGCATAAATCAGGACAAAGAAAACATGTTGTCTCCCTTTCTTCTCCTCAGAGAGACAGAGAAAAGCAAAAGGTATACACAAACGGAAGTTTCCAGCATACTGTGCTGGAATGTAAACAGACATGTGACATGTAACAATCCCATGTGCTATTTGAGTTATCAACCTCCAGTGCTATGTGAGTTATCAACAAGATGACTGAGTGTCCAAGTTGCCCTTCATGCATCCACACAGCAAATTCCCTTTTTTGCCAGTCACAGGTGCCATCCACAGACTTTTCCTGCAAAGGTGGAAAGACTGTCAGTGCCAGCAGCAGAAGAGTTCATTGAGGAGATGACAGCCATGCATAGTCTGTTAAAGGAGCAATTGGACTTGGCTAAAAAAGTCATACAAGAGAGGGGCAGATAAACACAGGAAGCCAGGCAAAGAGATAAAGGTGGGGAACAAGGTGTGCCTGTTCACAAGAGATCTGCCCCAGAAATGTAGATGCAGAAAGTAGGTGGGGCCCTTTGAAGTAATAGATCAACCTGGTGACGTTCAGGCTTAGGTTGCCAGCTTCCATGAAAATACATCCTGTATTCCATAGAGCACTGTTCGAGAAGATTTCACCCTTCCCATATCCAAGAATCTGCTGATGTTCTCTGCTGATTCTCCAGAGAGGAGGGGGCGGTTTCTGCTCAGTACTTATTCCTCTCCAGCCTCACATCAAAGGAGAGAGAGACTGAGTGTTAGAGAGATAGAGTGTGTTATCTCTGTATAGATAAGGTTGCTGCTAAGAGCAGCTGTAGACACTCGTGCAGTTCAGCATTTTTGTTTAGACCTCATTTAGCTCTGTATATAGTTTTGTATTATAATAGTTGTAGACAGAATAAAGAAGATCTTCTACAGAGCTGCTCTCCGAGTTGTTTATGCTCTGCTATACTCTGCTATACTCTGCTGTGCATGACTGTATTGTGGAAGTGAATCTGGTACTCACAGCTCTAAGCTGTGAGTCCACAGCACTTTGACCTGCTCCTGTGCAGAAGGTCGTCTCTGGAAGTGCTATCCCAGCTCGCCTGGCCCAGTCGGGGCTGAAGTGGATGAGTCCAGTCCGTGGCACTGGCTCAAGGGCGATGCTGACACTGTTATCCCGAGTAGTTCCTGCACACCTTTACTAGATCCCTAGGGGGTCACCTCCTCCCCTGGTAATGGTGGAGGGAGAAGAGGAGTCTGAAGTGGAGCAGAGTCTGGACTCTTACTGGATGGGGAAGTGGCTACAGTATCTGATAAAGTGGAAGGGATATGGCCCATCAGACAGATCCTGCGAATTTGCAGAGCATGTCCATACTCCTGAACTACAGACGGGGTTTCACTGTAGCCACCCCAACAAACCTAGAGGCAGAGGGTGGAGGGAGGAAGAAGAGGAGAAGGAGGAAGAGGAGGGGAATTATGCGGGGGGGGGTTCAGGAACGTGCCCCCCCCCCAGAGTGCAGGGGGAAAGTTAGACTCAGAAACTTAACTGCTGTGGGAGGGGTTTGAGAGTGACCAGCTATTGTAAATGAGAGCAGGCAAGAAGCCGTCTTCTGGATGTGTTTTTTTGTAAATAAACCTACGTAAAACTGCCGAGAGTCTTCTTATTGGGGCTTGCTTGCCTGCCAGACATAATTACAGCATGCATATTTGGCCAGGACTTCAACCTCTGTGTCTTATGATATACAAAGACAGATGTGTCCCTGCTACAAGTACCATTGCACTCCATGCACAATATTGCGATAAATAGCAGCAATGAGGGATGGTACCATATGATCCCATTTTTAGTTCTCATATAATCATAGCGCTGGAAGAGACCCCCATGGGTCATCTAGTAAAAGCCCCTGCAATGCAGGATACTCAGCAAAAGTGACCATAACAGATGGCCATCCAACCTCTCCTTAAAAACTGTCCAAGGGAGTTTGTTGCACTTTTGAACAGCTCTTACCATCAGAAAGTTCTTCCTGATGTTTAGTCAGAATTTCTTTTCCTGTAACCTGAAGCCATTGGTTCATGTCCCACCCACCAGAGCCAGAAAAAACCATCTTGTTCCATCAATCCCTTCTACAAACACCCGTGCATTCCATGCATCTATCTGGACCATTATCAAGACTGCCCTCCATTGCAAAGACAAAGTGTGGTTCTTACGCAAAAGCTATTCCTTTTACTGGTAGACTGGATTCCTTGCTAATTCCTTGCATTTATCCTGTGATAGCATAGTGGAGGGGGAAAATATTTTGACATAAGAGACTAGCTGGTTTTTTTAAAGAAAACATATAGTGGAGTGGGTTTGGGGACAAAGAAGAGAAACAGAGCAGGTTTGCCGAAATATATTCACACCTTATTCAGGACTTATGAAATATATGTTCAGACTAGTGCTGTTTACCTTCCCACCAGAGCAGTACCTATTTATCTACTGGCACTTTGACGTGCTTTCGAACTGCTAGGTTGGCAGGAGCAGGGACCAAACAACGGCAGCTCACCCCATCGCGGGGATTCGAACCGCCGATCTTCTGATCGGCAAGTCCTGGGCTCTGTGGTTTAACCCACAGCGCCACAATCTCCTTTATTGTTTCCTGAAGCCATTGGTTAATATGCCACCCACCAGAGCCAGAAAAAAATAATCTTGCTCCATCGATCCTTTCTACAGGCACCCATACATTTCATGCATCTTTCTGGACCATTATCAAGACTGCCCTCAATGTATTCCATTTTATGGTAGACCTGGCACTGGATTCCTTGCTAATTCCTTGCATTTATCGCATGATAGCATAGGAGAAGGAGCAATAGATGAAAAAAATAAAAAATATTTCGACATAGCAAGACTAGTCTGTCTTTTAAAAACATATAGTGGAGTGGGTTTGGAAAGAAAACAGAGGAGAAACAGAATAGGTTTGCCAAAATATATTCACACCTTATTCAGGACTTATGAAATATATGGTCAGACTAGTGTATGGCATTTAGGGTACAGGTGTCCTTAAACTCCAGCCAGAGTTGCGATTGGAGCATGATATGTTGCTGTGATTGGTTTCTGGTTATAAGTCTACAGTATGGGAAAGGTGAAGAAGTGGGAACATGGTGTCAAAGCCAAAACTCAACAGCACAGACTTTGCAAACATGGGGCAGGCAGATCAACCCTTCTTGCTCTCTTGGGAATACATTCAAGAGTTGGTGAATGGAGGATTCATCCCTGCTGGGTGCTTTTTAGCAAGACCCTTGCCTCTGGGGAAGACATTTCTGCATTAGACCCCTGCAGACTGTAGAAGGAAGTCCTCCAATCCACAGACAATTTCTGAATGCCAAATACATCCGTTCAAAATGTAATTTTGCATTGCTCACCACTAAACAATTGGAGAATAGGAGATAGTGCTCAGTCACAATTTACCAAAACAGAATTTTGCAAATCCATTTGTGATAGTAGGTAATTATGAGAATTCACGACATCATACCTTTTTTACTACACCATGATGAATACTTCATAGGGCTGTGTGTGTGTGTGTGTGTGTGTGTATCTCCAGAAGGGCAGATCTAGCCTGTAGCCACCCGGTTGCCTGCCCCAATTCTAGATGTCCTCCATTCTCCTTTACTGCTATAGTTCTGCAACTGAAATCTGATGGCTTACAGTTCTGGTATTGGACTTACCTGGAGAAACCAGGAGCATCAATAAAATGGTAGCTATGAATGGACAGCAGACTTGCATGGTGGAGCTTTCGTTAGGATTCCTTGGAGGCCAGTGAGAAATGGACACCCAAGCAGTGCACTACCAAGTTCCAGCGTCTTTTGGAAAGCCGAGTGCTCATCTATTTATGGGACTCTATGCTACTTTTCCACGTGTACTTTAATGTCATTTGCAAGATGTCAGAGTTTTGCTGCATCATTCCTTTCAAGAAGCAGTGTTCCAGTAAGAGGAACTAAAATACGGTACATTGCCATTACATTATTCTAAGACTATACTCAGGGTTCACTGGTTTGGAAAAAAGGATTATTCTGTTTCTAAGATTTTCTTGAAAGATATAGTTTTTTTCCTGTATGGGTCCCAGCCAACAAAATGGCTGGGGCAGGTTACACCGGGGGGGGGGGGGTTGCACTGGGACAAGCGATCTCAGTGATCACAGGCAGTAGGAGGATTTACGCTAAGACCAGACCATGTCATTACCGAGGAGGCAGGTTTAGTCGTTGATTGAGGACTATCCGTGCCTCTGGATCTGGTCTTGACTGGACGGATACTGGATTCAGCAAGCGATACCCACATGACCTGAAGGTACTGCTGTGCAATGCCAGGTCCATGATCCATAAGACTGCTGCCATCCATGATTTGATGGAGGACTTGACCTGGCATGTGCAACAGAGACTTGGTTGGATGAAGCAGATGGGCCTGTCCTTGCCTCTGCTTGTCCACCAGGTTTCTCTTACGTACAGCAACCTTGTGGGCAGTGGGGCAGTGATTTTTAGGAAGTCATTAGTTTGCACCAGGCGTCCTATTGGGAAGACCCAGTTTTCTGAGTGCATGTTCTGGAAGTTGGGCAATAGGGGCAGAACAGGATTCCTTTTAGTGTACCAACCTCCCCACTGCACCAAGGATTCCCTGCCCTAGCTGCTTCAGGTCGTGAAGGATGTTCTCCTGGAGACACCAAGTTTGGTTGTCCTAGGGGATATTAACATCCATGCCGACACAACCTTACAAGGGGCTGCTTGGGACTTCGTGGAAAGCATGGCCTCCATGGGGCTGTCCCTGAATAAGTCTGCCCCAACTCATTGCTGCGGACATGCCTTAGACCTGGTGTTCACCTCTATGGATGTTGGTGATCTGACACTAAGTAAAAGCAAAACTAAAGAAGTGCCATGGTCAGATCACTTCCTGGTGCAACTGGACTTCTCCGTCACCCTTCCCCTCAGCAGGGAGGTGGGACAAATTCAGATGGTCCGCCCCTGCCACTTAATGGATCCAAATGGTTTCCAGAGAGTGGTAGGGAATGTTTAACCCATGTTGATGGCCTTTCAGCTGATTCCCTGGTGGCCCGCTGGAATGTGGAGTTAACCAGGGCTATTGACTGTTTGGCTCCAAAGCGCCCTCTCCAGTGGCCCAGAGACCCGACAGCCCCATGGTTTTCCACAGATCTGAGGGCAATGAAACAATTGCTGAGATGGCTAGAGTGCCTGTGGTGGATAACTCATTCTGAAGTTGACTGGATATGGGTTAGAGCTCAGTGTTGAGCCTACCAAGTGGCGGTAGCGATGGCGAAGAAGACTTTCTTCACCACCTCTATTGCATCTGCAGAAAACAGCAGCAGGAGATTCTTTCAGGTGGTTCGCAATTTAGCGGAACCACCTGCTCCATCAGGGCCCAGTACGGGCCACATGATCTCCTGCAATGATTTTGCAAAGTTTTTTGCAGATGAAGTTGCTCAGATTCGGGAAGAGGTAGACTCCACCGTGGGAGCAGGGCCAGGGCGATGTTGGCTATTTGCAGTTTAGTAGCGCTGCAGAGAGCTTGCTAGGGAGACCATGCATCACAAGGAACTAAAAAATAACTTTAACATGGTTTTAATAACAAAAACAAAAACTCCTTTTACACTAAATACGTCAACAAACATGAACCAACCACCAACCCACCCACCCCCCAGGGTAATGAGAGAGCTAGGTGCTGCTCTTTATATACTATGCCCAATTGCTGACACAGCTTAATTAACACAACTTAGCAGCACCTGCCATGTTTCACAGCTGTAAAACTGGGTCTCGTTATTTCGTTAGAGTCCTGTCTAGTAAAATTGCATGGGATCAATTCCAATCTGCTACCTCTGAGGATGTGGACAGGCTTCTTGGATGAGTTAAATCAACCACCTGTCTCCTTGATCCTTGCCCATCCTGGCTTATAAAAGCTAGCCAGGAAGGGCTGGGCAAAGGGCTTCGTGAGGTAGTGAATGCTTCTCTCTGTAAGGGAGCCTTCCCAGACCCGCTAAATGAGGAGGTCATCAAACTGCTTCTAAAAAAACCATCTTTAGATGCTGCCAATATGGCCAACTATTGCCCAGTCTCAAATCTTCCATTCTTGGGCAAGGTGATTGAGCAAGTTGTTGCTGAACAACTCCAGGCACGCCTGGAAGAAGTGGACCATTTGGTCACACTGGTCAATAATCTCCGGTTGGCTAGGGACAAAGGTGAGAGCTGTTTCCTAGTTCTGCCGGATCTCTCTGTGGCTTTTGACACCATCGACCATAACATCTTTCTGGACCATCTAGAGGGGCTGGGAGCTGGGGGGCGCTGTTATACAGTGGTTCCACTCCTTCCTCCTGGGCCGTATTCAGAAAGTGGTGGTGGGGGATGAGTGTTCAGACCCCTGGGCTCTCACTTGTGGGGTGTCTCAGGGTTCTGTCCTCTCTCCCATGCTTTTCAATATGTACATGCAACTGCTGGGAGAGATCATCAGGGGATTTGGGCTGGGTGTTCATCAGTATGCGGATGATACCCAGCTCTACCTCTCTTTCAAATCAGAACCTGTGAAGGTGGTGAAGGTCCTGTGTGAGTGTCTGGAGGTGGTTGGAGGGTGCATGGCAGCTAAAAGATTGAGGTTGAATCCTGACAAGGCAGAAGTACTGTTTTGGGGGGACAGGAAGCGAGCAGGTGTGGAGGCCTCCCTGGTCCTGAATGGGGTAACTGTGCCCCTGAAGGACCAGATGCGCAGCCTGGGAGTCATTTTGGACTCACAGCTGCCCATGGAGGCACAGGTCAAATCTGTGTCCAGGGCAGCTGTTTATCAGCTCCATCTCGTACGCAGGCTGAGACCCTACCTACCCGCAGACTGTCTCGCCAGAGTGGTGCATGCTCTAGTTATCTCTCGCTTGGACTGCTGCAATGTACTCTATGTGGGGCTACCTTTGAAGGTGACCCATAAACTACAACTGATCCAGAATGTGGCAGCTAGACTGGTGACTGGGAGTGGCCACTGGGACCATATAAAACCAATCCTAAAGGATCTATATGGCTCCCAGTATGGTTCCAGGCACAATTCAAAGTGTTGGTGCTGACATTTAAAGCCCTAAACAGGCTCGGTCCAGTATACCTGAAGCAGCATCTCCACCCCCAAAGTTCTGCCCGGACACTGAGGTCCTGTGCCGAGGGCCTTCTGGCGGTTCCCTCGCTGCGAGAAGCCAAGTTACAGGGAACCATGCAGAGGGCCTTCTCAGTAGTGGCACCCGCCCTGTGGAACACCCTCCCACCAGATGTCAAAGGGAAAAACAACTACCAGACTTTTAGAAGACATCTGAAGGCAGCCCTGTTTAAGGAAGCTTTTAATGTTTAATAGACTATTGTATTTTAATATTATTATTATTATTATTATTATTATTATTATTATTACTGAAACTGATTTTCTGGATCCATTTCAGTTGGGGTTTTGGCCTGATTTTGGCATAGAAACTGCCTTGGTTGCCCTGTATGATGACCTTTGTCGAGAGAGAGACAAGGGAAACATGTCCCTTTTAATTGTTCTCGACCTCTCAGTGGCTTTCAATACTATCAACCATGGTATCCTGCTGGAGCAACTCTCCAAACTAGGGATGGGTGGCATCGCTTTGTTTTGGTTCCAGTCTTACTTGGATGGTTATTCCCAATGGGTACTACTGGGGAAGTGCTTTTCAGCCTTGTGGAACCTTCAATGTGGGGTTCTGTAGGGCTCAATCCTATTCCCCATGTTGTTTAACATCTACATGAAACTTCTGGGTGGGGTTATCCAGAGGTTCGGAGTACTTTGTCAGCAGTATGCTGATGACACTCAGCTCTATTTCTCCTTTACATCTGCAGGTGAGGCAGTGGAAGTGCTGGACCAGTGTCTTGCCTTGGTAATGGACTGGATGAGAGCCAACAAACTGAAGCTCAATCCAGATATGACTGAGGCACTGTTACTGGGGGGTTCCGTAGACCCAATGGGTGGAAGGTCATCTGCTCTTGATGGGGTTACATTTCCTCTGAAGGAGCAGCTTCATAGCTTGAGGGTACTCCTGGATCCTTTCCTGTCGCTTGAGGCTCAGTTGGCCTCAGTGGCCTGGAGTGCCTTCCATCAGCTTCAGTTGGTGGGCCAGCTGCACCTCTATCTGGACAGGCATAGCCTAACTACTGCTGTCTATGCTCTGGTAACCTCAAGGTTAGATTACTGCAATGTGTTATATGTAGGGCTCCCTCTGAAGACGGTTCAGAATCTTCAGCTGGTGCAGAATTCAGCAGCCAGGTTGCTCATGGAGCAATATGGTTTGAGAATATTACACCGATCCTGCTCTGACTGCACTGGCTACCAATTAGTTTCCAAGCCCAACTGAAAGTGCTGGTTTTGATCTACAAAGCCTTTTTTTTTTTTTTTAAATGATATTTATTGAAGTTTCACATAAAAAAAAGACATCTTAATAAGAGGGGGGGGGAAAGAAATTTAAAAATAAAAAAAGAAATACAACATACAAAATACAAAGGAAAAAGAAAGAAAAAACAGTTAAAAACAATTCCATCTTTTCATCTTAACTTTTACATTGACTTATTTCCCGGACCTCCTCATACCTCCCTCTTTTGTATTCCAATTCAATTTGTTTGTCCAGCAATTCCTTTCCCTCCTTTTTAATCCCAATCCTTAATCTTGATATAATATAACATTAAATTGTAACCTATTAAAAGCCAATTTTCCATTTCTTTTAACTTTTTTAATCCTAATCCTTAATCTTGATCTATCTATAACTTTAAAGCCTGTACAGCTAGAAGCCACTTAATTTCAATCCAACATCACTCTAACATTCTTTAATTTTGCAATATTTCTGTAAGTAATCTTTAAATTTCTTCCAATCTTCTTCCACCGACTCTTCTCCCTGGTCACGGATTCTACCAGTCATTTCCGCCAATTCCATATAGTCCATCAATTTCATCTGCCATTCGTCCAGTGTGGGTAGCTCTTGTGTCTTCTAATACTTTGCGATGAGTATTCTTGCTGCTGTTGTAGCATACATAAAGAAAGTTCTATCCTTTTTTAACACCAATTGGCCGACTATGCCCAGGAGAAAGGCCTCTGGTTTCTTCAAGAAGGTATATTTAAATACCTTTTTTAATTCATTATATATAATCTCCCAGAAAGCCTTAATCTTTGGGCACGTCCACCAAAGGTGGAAAATGTACCTTCAGTTTCTTTACATTTCCAACATTTATTATCGGGCAAATGATAGATTTTTGCAAGCTTGACTGGGGTTATGTACCACCTGTATATCATTTTCATAATATTCTCTCTTATGGCATTACATGCCGTAAATTTCATACCTGTGGTCCATAACTGTTCCCAGTCAGCAAACATAATGTTGTGTCCTACATCTTGTGCCCATTTGATCATAACAGATTTCACCGTTTCATCCTGAGTGTTCCATTTCAGCAGCAAGTTATACATTCTTGACAAAGTCTTAGTTTTGGGTTCTAACAGTTCTATTTCTAATTTTGATTTTTCCACCTGGAAGCCAATTTTCTTGTCCAAATTGTATACCTCCATTATCTGATAATAATGGAGCCAGTCTCGCAGTTTGTTTCTTAATTTTTCAAAACTCTGCAATTTCAATCTATCTCCATCTTGTTCCAAGATTTCCCAATATTTCGGCCACTTGACCTCCATATTGAGCTTTTTCAAGGCTTTCGCTTCCATTGGTGACAGCCACCTTGGAGTTTTATTTTCCAATAAATCCTTATATCTTATCCAAACATTAAACAATGCTTTCCTGACAATGTGATTTTTAAATGCTTTATGTGCTTTAACCTTATCATACCACAGATATGCATGCCATCCAAATACATTGTTAAAACCTTCCAAATCCAAAATGTCAGTGTTTTCAAGAAGCAGCCATTCTTTCAACCAGCAAAAAGCTGCTGATTCATAATAAAGTTTAAGGTCTGGCAGGGCAAATCCACCTCTTTCCTTTACATCTGTTAGTATTTTTAATTTTATTCTGGGCTTCTTGCCCTGCCAGACAAATCTGGAAATATCTCTCTGCCACCTCTTGAAACAGTCCATTTTGTCCACAATTTGCAATGTTTGAAACAAAAATAACATTCTAGGCAATACATTCATTTTTACCACAGCAATCCGGCCTTACTGTGGCTCAGGACCACAATACCTCAAGGACCGCCTCTTTTCATATGAACCTACCTGGACCGGACCCTGAGATCATCTTCTGAGGCCCTCCTTTTTGTGCCTCCTCCTTGAGAGGTCCATAGTGGCAACACGAGAAGAGGCCTTCTCTGCAGTGGCAGAGAAGTGGAATGCTCTCCCCAAGGAACCCTGGCACCTTCATTACACACCTTTCGGCACTAGGCAAAAATTTTCCTCTTTGAACAGGCCTTTGGTTGATCTATTTGACATCCTATACCCTTTTAAAATGTTCTTTTTTGGAGGAGTGTTATTGGGTTGTGTTTTTTATTCTAATTATATATGTTGAGATCTTTTCTGTGAACCACCCTGAGACTTCCAGGTATAGGGTGGTACATAAACTCTAATAATAATAATAATAATTGTACACAAGGGGCATACACAATTCTTCCTCACCTCATGTAATCCCCACAACAACCCTGGGATACATGTCAGCCTGAGAGTCAGGGTCCGGCCGAAGGTCACCTGGAGAGCTTCTGAGAACATTTTAGGATCATGCCCTCTGCTGGATATCAGTATAATTCTAACTGCAGAAAACTGCCACTATTATTGGGTATGTGTTGTGACATTCCCGGTAGCAGAATTTTGGCACAGTTAATGCTACCAAATGGGGAATAATTTACTTCTTAGACAGTTTTTCCAGGTGAAAGGCACATTTCAATTAGAGCTGTCTCAGCACCTTGATTTCTCCTTTCAAGGAAGTTATAATAATAATAATAAATTTTATTTATATCCCGCCCTCCCCAGCCGAAGCTGGGCTCAGGGCGGCTAACAACAATCAAAATAATCCAGCATTCTAAAAACATTCATTATAAAATTAATTAAAATCAAATTGATGGCAACCATTAAGCAAAATTCTGTGCAGATTGCCAGAGGAGGGGGCCAGGATGCACCCTGACCAAAGGCCTGGTGAAACAGCTCTGTCTTGCAGGCCCTGCGAAAAGATGTCAGGTCCCGCAGGGCCCTAGTCTCTTGTGACAGAGCGTTCCACCAGATTGGAGCCGCGGCCGAGAAAGCCCTGGCTCTAGTTGAGGCCAGCCTAACCTCTCTGTGGCCTGGGATCTTCAGGATGTTTTTATTTGCAGACCGTAAATTTCTCTGTGGGACATACCAGGAGAGGCGGTCCCATAGATACGAGGGTCCTAGGCCGTATAGGGCTTTAAAGGTTAAAACCAGCAACTTAAACCTGATCCTGTACTCCACCGGGAGCCAGTGCAGCTGGTATAGTACCGGATGAATATGATCTCACAGCGAAGACCCCATAAGGAGTCTCGCCGCGGCATTCTGCACCCGCTGGAGTTTCTGGGTCAGTCTCAAGGGCAGCCCCACGTAGAGCGAGTTACAATAATCCAATCTGGAGGTGACCGTCACGTGGATCACAGTGGCTAGGTCAGGGTGAGAGAGATAAGGAGCCAACTGCTTAGCTTGGCGGAGATGAAAAAATGCCGCCTTTTTTTATAGCTGTAATCTGCGCCTCCATAGAGAGGGAGGTATCGAAGATTACACCCAAACTCTTAACGGACGATGCTGGCACTAATTGCACCCCCGCAAGAGATGGGAGTTGCCCCCTCAATCCCATATCGCCCCATCCCAGCCAGAGGACCTCTGTCTTCGAAGGATTTAACTTCAACCGGCTCCCACGTAACCATCCAGCCACAGCTTCCAGACATCTGGTCAGTGTGTCTGGGGCCGAGTCAGGATGGCCATCCATCAACAGATAGAGTTGGGTGTCATCGGCATACTGATGGCAACCCAGCCCAAAATTCCAGACAAGCTGGGCGAAGGGGCTCATAAAGATGTTGCATAAGAATGGCAGCTAGGATGCAGGGACTGATTGGACCAGTAAGCAACTTGCTCCTGAGTGCTTCTGCAGAATAAATCCTGCTCCACCATCTTCTGGGAAGCAGGGTCGCTTCTCTAGTTGGCATCCTTCTTATACGTATAGCTTCTGGAATGTTCTATCCCTTTGGAGTCAAGCACATGAAGAAAGATCTTAAACAGTCTGTTAATAAAGGCAGGTCAATGAGACCTAGTTCTGTTACGGCGGAGCCAAGTGGGACCATACAGTCACCAAACTTGGATAGTCTTGCCATTGTGACTCGTGCAAAGCTGGACTGCTGTAATGTGCTCTTTGTGGGGCTGTCCTTAACGCTAATCTGGAAGCTGCAACCAGCACACTGCTGTATCCCTCAGACCACACTTTACACCTTTATTTAAGGACCTATAACTGTACCATTACCTCCCCCCCTTTTTTTTTTACTAGCAGCCAATAAGCCACTAGGTCAGCCTCAAGGTCTTGGGTGTTTTCGCATGCAGGCCTAACAATGTGGAATCAGGTTTCTTCAAGGAGTGCCTTTCCACATATGGCTCTACTCTGTCACTACTATTGCCACAACCCATGAAGACTCTTTAGTGGGGCCCTCTCTTTGCTCCCTCTAAAAGACACTTTTCATAGAATCATAGAAGAGTTATAGAATCATAGAATCATAGAATCATAGAGTTGGAAGAGACCTCAAGGGCCATCGAGTCCAACCCCCTGCCAAGCAGGAAACACCATCAGAGCACTCCTGACATATGGTTGTCAAGCCTCTGCTTAAAGACCTCCAAAGAAGGAGACTCCACCACACTCCTTGGCAGCAAATTCCACTGTCGAACAGCTCTCACTGTCAGGAAGTTCTTCCTAATGTTTAGGTGGAATCTTCTTTCTTGTAGTTTGGATCCATTGCTCCGTTGGAAGGGACCACTTTTAGAACTTACAAAGGACAAAGAACATGGAAAAGCCAACACATATTCTCACAGTTTTTATTTTCAATTTTTCCATGGCCAGGTTCTACCAGACATCAAATGCCTGCAAAAATTATATCGTTTCTTGGAGGCCCCAAGCATAATTCTTACAGCTGAGAAAGAAGCAGCAAGCTATAGCTCCTCAAAACCATAAGCTTAGTTTTTGTATTTACTTTGGAAAGTTTGTTTGTTTTTTTCTGTATGTAAGAATACAACATTTTCATATATGATGTATAACTAAAATACAAATATTACTAGAAGATGATGTGTTAATGGCTATTAACTTCGATTGTATACTACTGTGCAAGGGGGACCCCCAGGGCCAAAGAATGCATCAAAGTGACAACTCCAACCTTGGAAGAAGGAGATCTGATGTTGGTTTCCTTACCATCTCCATCAATACCTTAAAGGTAAAGGTAAAGGGACCCCTGACCATTAGGTCCAGTTGTGGCTGACTCTGGGGTTGCGGCGCTCATCTCGCTTTATTGTCCGAGGGAGCAGGCGTACAGCTTCCTGGTCATGTGGCCAGCATGACTAAGCCGCTTCTGGCGAACCAGAGCAGCGCACGGAAACACCATTTACCTTCCTGCCGGAGCGGTACCTATTTATCTACTTGCATTTGACGTGCTTTCAAACTGCTAGGTTGGCAAGAGCAGGGACCGAGCAACGGGAGCTCACCCCATCATGGGGATTCGAACCGCGACCTTCTGATCAGCAAGTCCTAGGCTCTGTGGTTTAACCTACAGCACCACCCGCATCCCATCAGGAATTCCTTAATTGGTAGGGTCAAAGGAATGGTGGGAAGGGATGGTGCCATACCTCAGGAAGCCCTTGTTATGGTGATAATGAGGCCCCACCATGCCACAACCCAGCCAGGCTGGATAGAGAACTATAACTCAACTAGAGAGTCATGTAACTTTCATAGTTATAGGGTCTGTGACTGGGTAATAAAATGTGTATGTTATATTTTATAAATTTCACTTAAAGTAGGAAGCAGCCACCATGAATGGGAGCTGAGCTCGGCTCACATTCAAAATTTTATTTGCCAGCTTGTGACTAGATGCACCTTTCCACTCAGGTACATAAGGATGAGAATGCCAGAATCCTCCCTGCTGGATGGGGGATTGGGTTTAGCTTCTTTGTGTTGACCGCTGCTTCTCATATGAGATATGGGGATGATGGTGTGCACCATGGGTCATTGCAATCATTGCAGTGGAGAGCATCCAACTGAGCCAACCTGCTTGAAAAGGAATGGAACTGATGACCTAACCACTTCCTTGACTCCATCACTTCCTCAAAGCTGACTAGTTATGGCTAATGAGCCTCCATGGCATGCTTATCATTCTAAAGCCAGTTTGAGGAGCACTTTTGCAGAGTATGTATTCAAGTTATAATACCCAAACATGAGACATAGACACTTAATATACATGTATCGTTTCTGCTGCCATTTATTTGAAAAAGATAGAAATCTCACATTATTTTGCAGCAGTACAAGCCTGGACCACTTGATCCATTTCCTTTCAAATTCCCTGTACATAGTTTCCTGTAACAAGAACCCTTGTAATCCTGCACTTTCTTTGGATACCATCTATTCATTCCTTCTGGGTTAAAAACCAGTGCTTTAGTTTTCTATTGTCAGGAAATAAACAGTTAATTAACCTTTCTTGAGGAAGCATTGATCTCATTGATTGATTGGTGGAGAGAAACATCAATCCCTTCACCTTGTATGCTGCTGGTAATATCAGATATTTTGACGTCCGTCCGAAGGATGAAATAGATATTTCGAAGCAATCTCTTTATAGAGCGATTAGTCCCTTTGCCTTCCATAGTGACTTTAAAAGGAAATATCTGGTTGCCTTGGCCTTTACCTTCCAAGTTCACAGAAAAATCATATATATGCCCTTCCTGGTAAATAAAACTCTTCACTTTTTGGACTAACGTCTTTTGAGAAGGCTTGTTGCCTTGGCCTTGCATAGTGAATGTAAACCTGATCAGCTGGTTTCTTATAGATACAGGGACAACCACATTGGGCCTTTTGCTCAGGGAAGCATTTATCTGTTGGATTAATTGGTGGAGAGAAGCATCAATCCCTTGGCCTTGGATTCTGATGGTTATGTGAGTAATTTTCCGTTCTACTTGAAGGATTGCATCAATATTTTCCACTAATCTCCTGAGTGAATCATCAGTCCCTTGGCCTTCTGTGGAGACTGTAAACCGAGTCACCTGGTTGCCTAGGTCTTGGCTTTTAATGTTTACAAAGTAATCTGTTATTTGACCATCCATGTCAAGAAAAGCCTTGATCTTTTCTACTAATCTCTGTCTGGAAGCATCGTCCCCTTGGCCTTGTATGTTCAAGGTAAACTTGAGCTGCTTGCCTCTTTCGCTGTGTTCATTGTCAATCAGACTGGGCCTCTTTTTCAAGGAAACATTGAAGTCTCGGACTAATTTGTGGACAGAAGTACCAATCCCTTGACCTTCTATGTTCATGTTCATGTTAGCTATTTTCTGTTCTCCTTCAAGGATCGCATAGATGTTTTCCACAAATCCCTGAGAGAATTATCAGTCGCTTTGCCTTCTATGGTGACAGTGAAATGATTCCCATGGTTGCCCTGCCTTTGGCCTTCCACACTCACAGAATAATCCGTTGGATGTTCTTGCATTTCAAGTAAAGCCTCGATCTTTTCTACTAATCTCTGTCCGGAAGCATCGTCCCCTTGGCCTTGTATGTTCAAGGTAAACTTGAGCTGCTTGCCTCTTTCGCTGTGTTCATTGTCAATCAGACTGGGCCTCTTTTTCAAGGAAACATTGAAGTCTCGGACTAATTTGTGGACAGAAGTACCAATCCCTTGACCTTCTATGTTCATGTTCATGTTAGCTATTTTCTGTTCTCCTTCAAGGATCGCATAGATGTTTTCCACAAATCGCCTAAGAGAATTATCAGTCGCTTTCCCTTCTATGGTGACAGTGAAATGATTCCCATGGTTGCCCTGCCTTTGGCCTTCCACACTCACAGAATAATCCGTTGGATGTTCTTGCATTTCAAGTAAAGCCTCGATCTTTTCTACTAATCTCTGTCCGGAAGTATCGTCCCCTTGGCCTTGTATGTTCAAGGTAAACTTGAGCTGCTTGCCTCTTTCGCTGTGTTCATTGTCAATCAGACTGGGCCTCTTTTTCAAGGAAACATTGAAGTCTCGGACTAATTTGTGGACAGAAGTACCAATCCCTTGACCTTTTATGTTCATGTTCATGTTAGTTATTTTCTGTTCTCCTTCAAGGATCGCGTAGATGTTTTCCACAAATCGCCTGAGAGAATTATCAGTCGCTTTGCCTTCTATGGTGACAGTGAAATGATTCCCATGGTTGCCCTGCCTTTGGCCTTCCACACTCACAGAATAATCCATTGGATGTTCTTGCATTTCAAGTAAAGCCTTGATCTTTTCTACTAATCTCTGTCCAGAAGCATTGTCCCCTTGGCCTTGTATGTTCAAGGTAAACTTGAGCTGCTTGCCTCTTTTGCTGTGTTCATTGTCAATCAGACTGGGCCTCTTTTTCAAGGAAACATTGAAGTCTCGGACTAATTTGTGGACAGAAGTACCAATCCCTTGACCTTTTATGTTCATGTTCATGTTAGCTATTTTCTGTTCTCCTTCAAGGATCGCGTAGATGTTTTCCACAAATCGCCTGAGAGAATTATCAGTCGCTTTGCCTTCTATGGTGACAGTGAAATGATTCCCATGGTTGCCCTGCCTTTGGCCTTCCACACTCACAGAATAATCCGTTGGATGTTCTTGCATTTCAAGTAAAGCCTTGATCTTTTCTACTAATCTCTGTCTGGAAGCATCGTCCCCTTGGCCTTGTATGTTCAAGGTAAACTTGAGCTGCTTGCCTCTTTCGCTGTGTTCATTGTCAATCAGACTGGGCCTCTTTTTCAAGGAAACATTGAAGTCTCGGACTAATTTGTGGACAGAAGTACCAATCCCTTGACCTTCTATGTTCATGTTCATGTTAGCTATTTTCTGTTCTCCTTCAAGGATCGCGTAGATGTTTTCCACAAATCGCCTGAGAGAATTATCAGTCGCTTTGCCTTCTATGGTGACAGTGAAATGATTCCCATGGTTGACCTGCCTTTGGCCTTCCACACTTACAGAATAATCCGTTGGATGTTCTTGCATTTCAAGTAAAGCCTTGATCTTTTCTACTAATCTCTGTCCGGAAGCATCGTCCCCTTGGCCTTGTATGTTCAAGGTAAACTTGAGCTGCTTGCCTCTTTCGCTGTGTTCATTGTCAATCAGACTGGGCCTCTTTTTCAAGGAAACATTGAAGTCTCGGACTAATTTGTGGACATTAGTACCAATCCCTTGACCTTCTATGTTCATGTTCATGTTAGCTATTTTCTGTTCTCCTTCAAGGATCGCGTAGATGTTTTCCACAAATCCCCTGAGAGAATTATCAGTCGCTTTGCCTTCTATGGTGACAGTGAAATGATTCCCATGGTTGCCCTGCCTTTGGCCTTCCACACTCACAGAATAATCCGTTGGATGTTCTTGCATTTCAAGTAAAGCCTTGATCTTTTCTACTAATCTCTGTCCGGAAGCATCGTCCCCTTGGCCTTGTATGTTCAAGGTAAACTTGAGCTGCTTGCCTCTTTCGCTGTGTTCATTGTCAATCAGACTGGGCCTCTTTTTCAAGGAAACATTGAAGTCTCGGACTAATTTGTGGACAGAAGTACCAATCCCTTGACCTTCTATGTTCATGTTCATGTTAGCTATTTTCTGTTCTCCTTCAAGGATCGCATAGATGTTTTCCACAAATCGCCTGAGAGAATTATCAGTCGCTTTGCCTTCTATGGTGACAGTGAAATGATTCCCATGGTTGCCCTGCCTTTGGCCTTCCACACTCACAGAATAATCCGTTGGATGTTCTTGCATTTCAAGCAAAGCCTTGATCTTTTCTACTAATCTCTGTCTGGAAGCATCGTCCCCTTGGCCTTGTATGTTCAAGGTAAACTTGAGCTGCTTGCCTCTTTCGCTGTGTTCATTGTCAATCAGACTGGGCCTCTTTTTCAAGGAAACATTGAAGTCTCGGACTAATTTGTGGACAGAAGTACCAATCCCTTGACCTTCTATGTTCATGTTCATGTTAGCTATTTTCTGTTCTCCTTCAAGGATCGCGTAGATGTTTTCCACAAATCGCCTGAGAGAATTATCAGTCGCTTTGCCTTCTATGGTGACAGTGAAATGATTCCCATGATTGCCCTGCCTTTGGCCTTCCACACTCACAGAATAATCCGTTGGATGTTCTTGCATTTCAAGTAAAGCCTTGATCTTTGCTACTAATCTCTGTCTGGAAGCATCGTCCCCTTGGCCTTGTATGTTCAAGGTAAACTTGAGCTGCTTGCCTCTTTCGCTGTGTTCATTGTCAATCAGACTGGGCCTCTTTTTCAAGGAAACATTGAAGTCTCGGACTAATTTGTGGACAGAAGTACCAATCCCTTGACCTTCTATGTTCATGTTCATGTTAGCTATTTTCTGTTCTCCTTCAAGGATCGCATAGATGTTTTCCACAAATCCCCTGAGAGAATTATCAGTCGCTTTGCCTTCTATGGTGACAGTGAAATGATTCCCATGGTTGCCCTGCCTTTGGCCTTCCACACTCACAGAATAATCCGTTGGATGTTCTTGCATTTCAAGTAAAGCCTTGATCTTTGCTACTAATCTCTGTCTGGAAGCATCGTCCCCTTGGCCTTGTATGTTCAAGGTAAACTTGAGCTGCTTGCCTCTTTCGCTGTGTTCATTGTCAATCAGACTGGGCCTCTTTTTCAAGGAAACATTGAAGTCTCGGACTAATTTGTGGACAGAAGTACCAATCCCTTGACCTTCTATGTTCATGTTCATGTTAGCTATTTTCTGTTCTCCTTCAAGGATCGCATAGATGTTTTCCACAAATCCCTGAGAGAATTATCAGTCGCTTTGCCTTCTATGGTGACAGTGAAATGATTCCCATGGTTGCCCTGCCTTTGGCCTTCCACACTCACAGAATAATCCGTTGGATGTTCTTGCATTTCAAGCAAAGCCTTGATCTTTTCTACTAATCTCTGTCTGGAAGCATCGTCCCCTTGGCCTTGTATGTTCAAGGTAAACTTGAGCTGCTTGCCTCTTTCGCTGTGTTCATTGTCAATCAGACTGGGCCTCTTTTTCAAGGAAACATTGAAGTCTCGGACTAATTTGTGGACAGAAGTACCAATCCCTTGACCTTCTATGTTCATGTTCATGTTAGCTATTTTCTGTTCTCCTTCAAGGATCGCATAGATGTTTTCCACAAATCCCCTGAGAGAATTATCAGTCGCTTTGCCTTCTATGGTGACAGTGAAATGATTCCCATGGTTGCCCTGCCTTTGGCCTTCCACACTCACAGAATAATCCGTTGGATGTTCTTGCATTTCAAGCAAAGCCTTGATCTTTTCTACTAATCTCTGTCCGGAAGCATCGTCCCCTTGGCCTTGTATGTTCAAGGTAAACTTGAGCTGCTTGCCTCTTTCGCTGTGTTCATTGTCAATCAGACTGGGCCTCTTTTTCAAGGAAACATTGAAGTCTCGGACTAATTTGTGGACAGAAGTACCAATCCCTTGACCTTCTATGTTCATGTTCATGTTAGCTATTTTCTGTTCTCCTTCAAGGATCGCATAGATGTTTTCCACAAATCCCCTGAGAGAATTATCAGTCGCTTTGCCTTCTATGGTGACAGTGAAATGATTCCCATGGTTGCCCTGCCTTTGGCCTTCCACACTCACAGAATAATCCGTTGGATGTTCTTGCATTTCAAGCAAAGCCTTGATCTTTTCTACTAATCTCTGTCTGGAAGCATCGTCCCCTTGGCCTTGTATGTTCAAGGTAAACTTGAGCTGCTTGCCTCTTTCGCTGTGTTCATTGTCAATCAGACTGGGCCTCTTTTTCAAGGAAACATTGAAGTCTCGGACTAATTTGTGGACAGAAGTACCAATCCCTTGACCTTTTATGTTCATGTTCATGTTAGCTATTTTCTGTTCTCCTTCAAGGATCGCGTAGATGTTTTCCACAAATCGCCTGAGAGAATTATCAGTCGCTTTGCCTTCTATGGTGACAGTGAAATGATTCCCATGGTTGCCCTGCCTTTGGCCTTCCACACTCACAGAATAATCCGTTGGATGTTCTTGCATTTCAAGTAAAGCCTTGATCTTTTCTACTAATCTCTGTCTGGAAGCATCGTTCCCTTGGCCTTGTATGTTCAAGGTAAACTTGAGCTGCTTGCCTCTTTCGCTGTGTTCATTGTCAATCAGACTGGGCCTCTTTTTCAAGGAAACATTGAAGTCTCGGACTAATTTGTGGACAGAAGTACCAATCCCTTGACCTTCTATGTTCATGTTCATGTTAGCTATTTTCTGTTCTCCTTCAAGGATCGCATAGATGTTTTCCACAAATCCCCTGAGAGAATTATCAGTCGCTTTGCCTTCTATGGTGACAGTGAAATGATTCCCATGGTTGCCCTGCCTTTGGCCTTCCACACTCACAGAATAATCCGTTGGATGTTCTTGCATTTCAAGTAAAGCCTTGATCTTTTCTACTAATCTCTGTCCGGAAGCATCGTCCCTTGGCCTTGTATGTTCAAGGTAAACTTGAGCTGCTTGCCTCTTTCGCTGTGTTCATTGTCAATCAGACTGGGCCTCTTTTTCAAGGAAACATTGAAGTCTCGGACTAATTTGTGGACAGAAGTACCAATCCCTTGACCTTCTATGTTCATGTTCATGTTAGCTATTTTCTGTTCTCCTTCAAGGATCGCGTAGATGTTTTCCACAAATCGCCTGAGAGAATTATCAGTCGCTTTGCCTTCTATGGTGACAGTGAAATGATTCCCATGGTTGCCCTGCCTTTGGCCTTCCACACTCACAGAATAATCCGTTGGATGTTCTTGCATTTCAAGTAAAGCCTTGATCTTTTCTACTAATCTCTGTCTGGAAGCATCGTCCCCTTGGCCTTGTATGTTCAAGGTAAACTTGAGCTGCTTGCCTCTTTCGCTGTGTTCATTGTCAATCAGACTGGGCCTCTTTTTCAAGGAAACATTGAAGTCTCGGACTAATTTGTGGACAGAAGTACCAATCCCTTGACCTTCTATGTTCATGTTCATGTTAGCTATTTTCTGTTCTCCTTCAAGGATCGCGTAGATGTTTTCCACAAATCGCCTGAGAGAATTATCAGTCGCTTTGCCTTCTATGGTGACAGTGAAATGATTCCCATGGTTGCCCTGCCTTTGGCCTTCCACACTCACAGAATAATCCGTTGGATGTTCTTGCATTTCAAGTAAAGCCTTGATCTTTTCTACTAATCTCTGTCCGGAAGCATCGTCCCCTTGGCCTTGTATGTTCAAGGTAAACTTGAGCTGCTTGCCTCTTTCGCTGTGTTCATTGTCAATCAGACTGGGCCTCTTTTTCAAGGAAACATTGAAGTCTCGGACTAATTTGTGGACAGAAGTACCAATCCCTTGACCTTCTATGTTCATGTTCATGTTAGCTATTTTCTGTTCTCCTTCAAGGATCGCATAGATGTTTTCCACAAATCGCCTGAGAGAATTATCAGTCGCTTTGCCTTCTATGGTGACAGTGAAATGATTCCCATGGTTGCCCTGCCTTTGGCCTTCCACACTCACAGAATAATCCGTTGGATGTTCTTGCATTTCAAGTAAAGCCTTGATCTTTTCTACTAATCTCTGTCTGGAAGCATCGTCCCCTTGGCCTTGTATGTTCAAGGTAAACTTGAGCTGCTTGCCTCTTTCGCTGTGTTCATTGTCAATCAGACTGGGCCTCTTTTTCAAGGAAACATTGAAGTCTCGGACTAATTTGTGGACAGAAGTACCAATCCCTTGACCTTCTATGTTCATGTTCATGTTAGCTATTTTCTGTTCTCCTTCAAGGATCGCATAGATGTTTTCCACAAATCGCCTGAGAGAATTATCAGTCGCTTTGCCTTCTATGGTGACAGTGAAATGATTCCCATGGTTGCCCTGCCTTTGGCCTTCCACACTCACAGAATAATCCGTTGGATGTTCTTGCATTTCAAGTAAAGCCTTGATCTTTTCTACTAATCTCTGTCTGGAAGCATCGTCCCCTTGGCCTTGTATGTTCAAGGTAAACTTGAGCTGCTTGCCTCTTTCGCTGTGTTCATTGTCAATCAGACTGGGCCTCTTTTTCAAGGAAACATTGAAGTCTCGGACTAATTTGTGGACAGAAGTACCAATCCCTTGACCTTCTATGTTCATGTTCATGTTAGCTATTTTCTGTTCTCCTTCAAGGATCGCGTAGATGTTTTCCACAAATCGCCTGAGAGAATTATCAGTCGCTTTGCCTTCTATGGTGACAGTGAAATGATTCCCATGGTTGCCCTGCCTTTGGCCTTCCACACTCACAGAATAATCCGTTGGATGTTCTTGCATTTCAAGTAAAGCCTTGATCTTTTCTACTAATCTCTGTCTGGAAGCATCGTCCCCTTGGCCTTGTATGTTCAAGGTAAACTTGAGCTGCTTGCCTCTTTCGCTGTGTTCATTGTCAATCAGACTGGGCCTCTTTTTCAAGGAAACATTGAAGTCTCGGACTAATTTGTGGACAGAAGTACCAATCCCTTGACCTTCTATGTTCATGTTCATGTTAGCTATTTTCTGTTCTCCTTCAAGGATCGCATAGATGTTTTCCACAAATCCCCTGAGAGAATTATCAGTCGCTTTGCCTTCTATGGTGACAGTGAAATGATTCCCATGGTTGCCCTGCCTTTGGCCTTCCACACTCACAGAATAATCCGTTGGATGTTCTTGCATTTCAAGTAAAGCCTTGATCTTTTCTACTAATCTCTGTCTGGAAGCATCGTCCCCTTGGCCTTGTATGTTCAAGGTAAACTTGAGCTGCTTGCCTCTTTCGCTGTGTTCATTGTCAATCAGACTGGGCCTCTTTTTCAAGGAAACATTGAAGTCTCGGACTAATTTGTGGACAGAAGTACCAATCCCTTGACCTTCTATGTTCATGTTCATGTTAGCTATTTTCTGTTCTCCTTCAAGGATCGCATAGATGTTTTCCACAAATCGCCTGAGAGAATTATCAGTCGCTTTGCCTTCTATGGTGACAGTGAAATGATTCCCATGGTTGCCCTGCCTTTGGCCTTCCACACTCACAGAATAATCCGTTGGATGTTCTTGCATTTCAAGTAAAGCCTTGATCTTTTCTACTAATCTCTGTCTGGAAGCATCGTCCCCTTGGCCTTGTATGTTCAAGGTAAACTTGAGCTGCTTGCCTCTTTCGCTGTGTTCATTGTCAATCAGACTGGGCCTCTTTTTCAAGGAAACATTGAAGTCTCGGACTAATTTGTGGACAGAAGTACCAATCCCTTGACCTTCTATGTTCATGTTCATGTTAGCTATTTTCTGTTCTCCTTCAAGGATCGCATAGATGTTTTCCACAAATCCCCTGAGAGAATTATCAGTCGCTTTGCCTTCTATGGTGACAGTGAAATGATTCCCATGGTTGCCCTGCCTTTGGCCTTCCACACTCACAGAATAATCCGTTGGATGTTCTTGCATTTCAAGTAAAGCCTTGATCTTTTCTACTAATCTCTGTCTGGAAGCATCGTCCCCTTGGCCTTGTATGTTCAAGGTAAACTTGAGCTGCTTGCCTCTTTCGCTGTGTTCATTGTCAATCAGACTGGGCCTCTTTTTCAAGGAAACATTGAAGTCTCGGACTAATTTGTGGACAGAAGTACCAATCCCTTGACCTTCTATGTTCATGTTCATGTTAGCTATTTTCTGTTCTCCTTCAAGGATCGCATAGATGTTTTCCACAAATCCCCTGAGAGAATTATCAGTCGCTTTGCCTTCTATGGTGACAGTGAAATGATTCCCATGGTTGCCCTGCCTTTGGCCTTCCACACTCACAGAATAATCCGTTGGATGTTCTTGCATTTCAAGTAAAGCCTTGATCTTTTCTACTAATCTCTGTCTGGAAGCATCGTCCCCTTGGCCTTGTATGTTCAAGGTAAACTTGAGCTGCTTGCCTCTTTCGCTGTGTTCATTGTCAATCAGACTGGGCCTCTTTTTCAAGGAAACATTGAAGTCTCGGACTAATTTGTGGACAGAAGTACCAATCCCTTGACCTTCTATGTTCATGTTCATGTTAGCTATTTTCTGTTCTCCTTCAAGGATCGCATAGATGTTTTCCACAAATCGCCTGAGAGAATTATCAGTCGCTTTGCCTTCTATGGTGACAGTGAAATGATTCCCATGGTTGCCCTGCCTTTGGCCTTCCACACTCACAGAATAATCCGTTGGATGTTCTTGCATTTCAAGTAAAGCCTTGATCTTTTCTACTAATCTCTGTCTGGAAGCATCGTCCCCTTGGCCTTGTATGTTCAAGGTAAACTTGAGCTGCTTGCCTCTTTCGCTGTGTTCATTGTCAATCAGACTGGGCCTCTTTTTCAAGGAAACATTGAAGTCTCGGACTAATTTGTGGACAGAAGTACCAATCCCTTGACCTTCTATGTTCATGTTCATGTTAGCTATTTTCTGTTCTCCTTCAAGGATCGCGTAGATGTTTTCCACAAATCGCCTGAGAGAATTATCAGTCGCTTTGCCTTCTATGGTGACAGTGAAATGATTCCCATGGTTGCCCTGCCTTTGGCCTTCCACACTCACAGAATAATCCGTTGGATGTTCTTGCATTTCAAGTAAAGCCTTGATCTTTTCTACTAATCTCTGTCTGGAAGCATCGTCCCCTTGGCCTTGTATGTTCAAGGTAAACTTGAGCTGCTTGCCTCTTTCGCTGTGTTCATTGTCAATCAGACTGGGCCTCTTTTTCAAGGAAACATTGAAGTCTCGGACTAATTTGTGGACAGAAGTACCAATCCCTTGACCTTCTATGTTCATGTTCATGTTAGCTATTTTCTGTTCTCCTTCAAGGATCGCATAGATGTTTTCCACAAATCCCCTGAGAGAATTATCAGTCGCTTTGCCTTCTATGGTGACAGTGAAATGATTCCCATGGTTGCCCTGCCTTTGGCCTTCCACACTCACAGAATAATCCGTTGGATGTTCTTGCATTTCAAGTAAAGCCTTGATCTTTTCTACTAATCTCTGTCTGGAAGCATCGTCCCCTTGGCCTTGTATGTTCAAGGTAAACTTGAGCTGCTTGCCTCTTTCGCTGTGTTCATTGTCAATCAGACTGGGCCTCTTTTTCAAGGAAACATTGAAGTCTCGGACTAATTTGTGGACAGAAGTACCAATCCCTTGACCTTCTATGTTCATGTTCATGTTAGCTATTTTCTGTTCTCCTTCAAGGATCGCGTAGATGTTTTCCACAAATCGCCTGAGAGAATTATCAGTCGCTTTGCCTTCTATGGTGACAGTGAAATGATTCCCATGGTTGCCCTGCCTTTGGCCTTCCACACTCACAGAATAATCCGTTGGATGTTCTTGCATTTCAAGTAAAGCCTTGATCTTTTCTACTAATCTCTGTCTGGAAGCATCGTCCCCTTGGCCTTGTATGTTCAAGGTAAACTTGAGCTGCTTGCCTCTTTCGCTGTGTTCATTGTCAATCAGACTGGGCCTCTTTTTCAAGGAAACATTGAAGTCTCGGACTAATTTGTGGACAGAAGTACCAATCCCTTGACCTTCTATGTTCATGTTCATGTTAGCTATTTTCTGTTCTCCTTCAAGGATCGCATAGATGTTTTCCACAAATCGCCTGAGAGAATTATCAGTCGCTTTGCCTTCTATGGTGACAGTGAAATGATTCCCATGGTTGCCCTGCCTTTGGCCTTCCACACTCACAGAATAATCCGTTGGATGTTCTTGCATTTCAAGTAAAGCCTTGATCTTTTCTACTAATCTCTGTCTGGAAGCATCGTCCCCTTGGCCTTGTATGTTCAAGGTAAACTTGAGCTGCTTGCCTCTTTCGCTGTGTTCATTGTCAATCAGACTGGGCCTCTTTTTCAAGGAAACATTGAAGTCTCGGACTAATTTGTGGACAGAAGTACCAATCCCTTGACCTTTTATGTTCATGTTCATGTTAGCTATTTTCTGTTCTCCTTCAAGGATCGCATAGATGTTTTCCACAAATCGCCTGAGAGAATTATCAGTCGCTTTGCCTTCTATGGTGACAGTGAAATGATTCCCATGGTTGCCCTGCCTTTGGCCTTCCACACTCACAGAATAATCCGTTGGATGTTCTTGCATTTCAAGTAAAGCCTTGATCTTTTCTACTAATCTCTGTCTGGAAGCATCGTCCCCTTGGCCTTGTATGTTCAAGGTAAACTTGAGCTGCTTGCCTCTTTCGCTGTGTTCATTGTCAATCAGACTGGGCCTCTTTTTCAAGGAAACATTGAAGTCTCGGACTAATTTGTGGACAGAAGTACCAATCCCTTGACCTTTTATGTTCATGTTCATGTTAGCTATTTTCTGTTCTCCTTCAAGGATCGCGTAGATGTTTTCCACAAATCGCCTGAGAGAATTATCAGTCGCTTTGCCTTCTATGGTGACAGTGAAATGATTCCCATGGTTGCCCTGCCTTTGGCCTTCCACACTCACAGAATAATCCGTTGGATGTTCTTGCATTTCAAGTAAAGCCTTGATCTTTTCTACTAATCTCTGTCTGGAAGCATCGTCCCCTTGGCCTTGTATGTTCAAGGTAAACTTGAGCTGCTTGCCTCTTTCGCTGTGTTCATTGTCAATCAGACTGGGCCTCTTTTTCAAGGAAACATTGAAGTCTCGGACTAATTTGTGGACAGAAGTACCAATCCCTTGACCTTTTATGTTCATGTTCATGTTAGCTATTTTCTGTTCTCCTTCAAGGATCGCGTAGATGTTTTCCACAAATCGCCTGAGAGAATTATCAGTCGCTTTGCCTTCTATGGTGACAGTGAAATGATTCCCATGGTTGCCCTGCCTTTGGCCTTCCACACTCACAGAATAATCCGTTGGATGTTCTTGCATTTCAAGTAAAGCCTTGATCTTTTCTACTAATCTCTGTCCGGAAGCATCGTCCCCTTGGCCTTGTATGTTCAAGGTAAACTTGAGCTGCTTGCCTCTTTCGCTGTGTTCATTGTCAATCAGACTGGGCCTCTTTTTCAAGGAAACATTGAAGTCTCGGACTAATTTGTGGACAGAAGTACCAATCCCTTGACCTTTTATGTTCATGTTCATGTTAGCTATTTTCTGTTCTCCTTCAAGGATCGCGTAGATGTTTTCCACAAATCGCCTGAGAGAATTATCAGTCGCTTTGCCTTCTATGGTGACAGTGAAATGATTCCCATGGTTGCCCTGCCTTTGGCCTTCCACACTCACAGAATAATCCGTTGGATGTTCTTGCATTTCAAGTAAAGCCTTGATCTTTTCTACTAATCTCTGTCCGGAAGCATCGTCCCCTTGGCCTTGTATGTTCAAGGTAAACTTGAGCTGCTTGCCTCTTTCGCTGTGTTCATTGTCAATCAGACTGGGCCTCTTTTTCAAGGAAACATTGAAGTCTCGGACTAATTTGTGGACAGAAGTACCAATCCCTTGACCTTTTATGTTCATGTTCATGTTAGCTATTTTCTGTTCTCCTTCAAGGATCGCGTAGATGTTTTCCACAAATCGCCTGAGAGAATTATCAGTCGCTTTGCCTTCTATGGTGACAGTGAAATGATTCCCATGGTTGCCCTGCCTTTGGCCTTCCACACTCACAGAATAATCCGTTGGATGTTCTTGCATTTCAAGTAAAGCCTTGATCTTTTCTACTAATCTCTGTCTGGAAGCATCGTCCCCTTGGCCTTGTATGTTCAAGGTAAACTTGAGCTGCTTGCCTCTTTCGCTGTGTTCATTGTCAATCAGACTGGGCCTCTTTTTCAAGGAAACATTGAAGTCTCGGACTAATTTGTGGACAGAAGTACCAATCCCTTGACCTTTTATGTTCATGTTCATGTTAGCTATTTTCTGTTCTCCTTCAAGGATCGCGTAGATGTTTTCCACAAATCGCCTGAGAGAATTATCAGTCGCTTTGCCTTCTATGGTGACAGTGAAATGATTCCCATGGTTGCCCTGCCTTTGGCCTTCCACACTCACAGAATAATCCGTTGGATGTTCTTGCATTTCAAGTAAAGCCTTGATCTTTTCTACTAATCTCTGTCTGGAAGCATCGTCCCCTTGGCCTTGTATGTTCAAGGTAAACTTGAGCTGCTTGCCTCTTTCGCTGTGTTCATTGTCAATCAGACTGGGCCTCTTTTTCAAGGAAACATTGAAGTCTCGGACTAATTTGTGGACAGAAGTACCAATCCCTTGACCTTTTATGTTCATGTTCATGTTAGCTATTTTCTGTTCTCCTTCAAGGATCGCGTAGATGTTTTCCACAAATCGCCTGAGAGAATTATCAGTCGCTTTGCCTTCTATGGTGACAGTGAAATGATTCCCATGGTTGCCCTGCCTTTGGCCTTCCACACTCACAGAATAATCCGTTGGATGTTCTTGCATTTCAAGTAAAGCCTTGATCTTTTCTACTAATCTCTGTCCGGAAGCATCGTCCCCTTGGCCTTGTATGTTCAAGGTAAACTTGAGCTGCTTGCCTCTTTCGCTGTGTTCATTGTCAATCAGACTGGGCCTCTTTTTCAAGGAAACATTGAAGTCTCGGACTAATTTGTGGACAGAAGTACCAATCCCTTGACCTTTTATGTTCATGTTCATGTTAGCTATTTTCTGTTCTCCTTCAAGGATCGCGTAGATGTTTTCCACAAATCGCCTGAGAGAATTATCAGTCGCTTTGCCTTCTATGGTGACAGTGAAATGATTCCCATGGTTGCCCTGCCTTTGGCCTTCCACACTCACAGAATAATCCGTTGGATGTTCTTGCATTTCAAGTAAAGCCTTGATCTTTTCTACTAATCTCTGTCTGGAAGCATCGTCCCCTTGGCCTTGTATGTTCAAGGTAAACTTGAGCTGCTTGCCTCTTTCGCTGTGTTCATTGTCAATCAGACTGGGCCTCTTTTTCAAGGAAACATTGAAGTCTCGGACTAATTTGTGGACAGAAGTACCAATCCCTTGACCTTTTATGTTCATGTTCATGTTAGCTATTTTCTGTTCTCCTTCAAGGATCGCATAGATGTTTTCCACAAATCGCCTGAGAGAATTATCAGTCGCTTTGCCTTCTATGGTGACAGTGAAATGATTCCCATGGTTGCCCTGCCTTTGGCCTTCCACACTCACAGAATAATCCGTTGGATGTTCTTGCATTTCAAGTAAAGCCTTGATCTTTTCTACTAATCTCTGTCCGGAAGCATCGTCCCCTTGGCCTTGTATGTTCAAGGTAAACTTGAGCTGCTTGCCTCTTTCGCTGTGTTCATTGTCAATCAGACTGGGCCTCTTTTTCAAGGAAACATTGAAGTCTCGGACTAATTTGTGGACAGAAGTACCAATCCCTTGACCTTTTATGTTCATGTTCATGTTAGCTATTTTCTGTTCTCCTTCAAGGATCGCGTAGATGTTTTCCACAAATCGCCTGAGAGAATTATCAGTCGCTTTGCCTTCTATGGTGACAGTGAAATGATTCCCATGGTTGCCCTGCCTTTGGCCTTCCACACTCACAGAATAATCCGTTGGATGTTCTTGCATTTCAAGTAAAGCCTTGATCTTTTCTACTAATCTCTGTCCGGAAGCATCGTCCCCTTGGCCTTGTATGTTCAAGGTAAACTTGAGCTGCTTGCCTCTTTCGCTGTGTTCATTGTCAATCAGACTGGGCCTCTTTTTCAAGGAAACATTGAAGTCTCGGACTAATTTGTGGACAGAAGTACCAATCCCTTGACCTTCTATGTTCATGTTCATGTTAGCTATTTTCTGTTCTCCTTCAAGGATCGCGTAGATGTTTTCCACAAATCGCCTGAGAGAATTATCAGTCGCTTTGCCTTCTATGGTGACAGTGAAATGATTCCCATGGTTGCCCTGCCTTTGGCCTTCCACACTCACAGAATAATCCGTTGGATGTTCTTGCATTTCAAGTAAAGCCTTGATCTTTTCTACTAATCTCTGTCCAGAAGCATCGTCCCCTTGGCCTTGTATGTTCAAGGTAAACTTGAGCTGCTTGCCTCTTTCGCTGTGTTCATTGTCAATCAGACTGGGCCTCTTTTTCAAGGAAACATTGAAGTCTCGGACTAATTTGTGGACAGAAGTACCAATCCCTTGACCTTTTATGTTCATGTTCATGTTAGCTATTTTCTGTTCTCCTTCAAGGATCGCGTAGATGTTTTCCACAAATCGCCTGAGAGAATTATCAGTCGCTTTGCCTTCTATGGTGACAGTGAAATGATTCCCATGGTTGCCCTGCCTTTGGCCTTCCACACTCACAGAATAATCCGTTGGATGTTCTTGCATTTCAAGTAAAGCCTTGATCTTTTCTACTAATCTCTGTCCGGAAGCATCGTCCCCTTGGCCTTGTATGTTCAAGGTAAACTTGAGCTGCTTGCCTCTTTCGCTGTGTTCATTGTCAATCAGACTGGGCCTCTTTTTCAAGGAAACATTGAAGTCTCGGACTAATTTGTGGACAGAAGTACCAATCCCTTGACCTTCTATGTTCATGTTCATGTTAGCTATTTTCTGTTCTCCTTCAAGGATCGCGTAGATGTTTTCCACAAATCGCCTGAGAGAATTATCAGTCGCTTTGCCTTCTATGGTGACAGTGAAATGATTCCCATGGTTGCCCTGCCTTTGGCCTTCCACACTCACAGAATAATCCGTTGGATGTTCTTGCATTTCAAGTAAAGCCTTGATCTTTTCTACTAATCTCTGTCTGGAAGCATCGTCCCCTTGGCCTTGTATGTTCAAGGTAAACTTGAGCTGCTTGCCTCTTTCGCTGTGTTCATTGTCAATCAGACTGGGCCTCTTTTTCAAGGAAACATTGAAGTCTCGGACTAATTTGTGGACAGAAGTACCAATCCCTTGACCTTTTATGTTCATGTTCATGTTAGCTATTTTCTGTTCTCCTTCAAGGATCGCGTAGATGTTTTCCACAAATCGCCTGAGAGAATTATCAGTCGCTTTGCCTTCTATGGTGACAGTGAAATGAATCACCTGGTTGCGCAGGCTTTTGCCTTTCATGCTCAAAGAATAATCCATTATTTCCATTTTCTTGCCAAGCAAAGCCTTGATCTTTCTGACTAATCTCTTTAGAGTAGCATCATCACTTTGGCCTTGTATTTTAAAGGTAAACGGGATCCTCCGGATTCCTTCTTCGAGTGGAGGAGTATCAACATTAGGCTTTTTGTTCAGGGAATCATTGAACTCTTCGATTATTTGGTGGAGAGAAGGACTAATTCCTTTGCCTTGTATGCTGAGGTTAATGTGAGTCATTTTGTCTTCTTCTTCTTCAAGGATTGCATTGACATTTCCCACTAACTTCCTGACAGAAGAATCAGGCCCTTTTCCATCTACAGTGACAGTAAAATGAATCACCTGGTTGCGCAGGCTTTTGCCTTTCATGCTCACAGAATAATCCATTATTTCCATTTCCTTGCCAAGCAAAGCCTTGATCTTTCTGACGAATCTCTTTAGAGTAGCATCATCACTTTGGCCTTGTATTTTAAAGGTAAACGGGATCCTCGGGATTCCTTCTTCGAGTGGAGGAACATCAACATTAGGCTTTTTGTTCAGGGAATCATTGAACTCTTCGATTATTTGGTGGAGAGAAGGACTAATTCCTTGGCCTTGTATGCTGAGGTTAATGTTGGTCATTTTGTCGTCTTCTTCTTCAAGGATTGCATTGACATTTTCCACTAACTTCCTGACAGAAGAATCAGGCCCTTGTCCATCTACAGTGACAGTAAAATGAATGACCTGGTTGCCCAGGCTTTTGCCTTTCATGCTCACAGAATAATCCATTATTTCCATTTCCTTGCCAAGCAAAGCCTTGATCTTTCTGACAAATCTCTTTAGAGTAGCATCATCACTTTGGCCTTGTATTTTAAAGGTAAACGGGATCCTCGGGATTCCTTCTTCGAGTGGAGGAACATCAACATTAGCCTTTTTGTTCAGGGAATCATTGAACTCCTCAATTATTTGGTGGAGAGAAGGACTAATTCCTTGGCCTTGTATGCTGAGGTTAATGTGAGTCATTTTGTCTTCTTCTTCTTCAAGGATTGCATTGACATTTCCCACTAACTTCCTGACAGAAGAATCAGGCCCTTGTCCATCTACAGTGACAGTAAAATGAATGACCTGGTTGCCCAGGCTTTTGCCTTTCATGCTCACAGAATAATCCATTATTTCCATTTCCTTGCCAAGCAAAGCCTTGATCTTTCTGACGAATCTCTTTAGAGTAGCATCATCACTTTGGCCTTGTATTTTCAAGGTAAACGGGATCCTCACGATTCCTTCTTCGAGTGGAGGAACATCAACATTAGGCTTTTTGTTCAGGGAATCATTGAACTCCTCGATTATTTGGTGGAGAGAAGGACTAATTCCTTGGCCTTGTATGCTGAGGTTAATGTGAGTCATTTTGTCTTCTTCTTCAAGGATTGCATTGACATTTCCCACTAACTTCCTGACAGAAGAATCAGGCCCTTGTCCATCTACAGTGACAGTAAAATGAATGACCTGGTTGCGCAGGCTTTTGCCTTTCATGCTCACAGAATAATCCATTATTTCCATTTCCTTGCCAAGCAAAGCCTTGATCTTTCTGACAAATCTCTTTAGAGAAGCATCATCCCCTTGGCCCTTTATCTTCAATGTAAACATGACCCTCTTGTGTACTTCGTTTGGGAAATTAATATCTGCATGAGGCTTGTTGTTCAGGGAACTATTGATCTCATTTATTAATTGGTGGAGAGAAGTACCAATCTTTTGGCCTTCTATTTCGAAGGTAATATGAGTCATTTTCCCTTCTCTTTGAAGGAAGGCACTGATGTTTTCCACCAATCTCCTTAGAGCAGCATTAGTCCCATGACCTTCTGTCGTGAGAGTAAAATGAATCATCTGATTGTCCTGCCTTTGTCCTTTCATCTTCAGAGAGTAATCATTTATTTCCTTATCCTTGCCAAGAAAAGCCTTGATCTTTTCGACAAATCTCTTTAGGGAAGCATCATTCCCTTGGCCCTTTATCTTCAATGTAAACTTGAACTGCTGGCCTCCTTCGGTTGGGAAATTATTAACCTCATGACGCCTGTTATTCAGGGAACTGTTGATCTCATTTATTAATTGGTGGATAGAAGGACCAATCCCTTGGCCTTCTATGTTGATGGTACTGTGAGTTATTTGGCCTTCTGTCTGAAGCATGGCATTGATGTTTTCAACTAATCTCTTGATAGAAGCATCAGCCCCATTGCCTTGTATGGTTAATTTAAAAAGCAATGTCTGATGCCCAAGGCTTTGGCTTTGCAGTTTCACAGAATAATGATTTATTTCCCCATCCTTGGTAAGAAAAGCTTTAATCTCGTTGACTAATCTCTTCAGAGAAACATCATCCCCTTGGCCTTGTATGTTCAGGATAAAATCAACTCCCATATGTCCATTGTTGTTTGGAGGGTCAATCCTTTCATTATCCGTGGAAGTATTGTTTAGTTCACCATATGTGCTAATTAAGGCATTGATTTCTTGGACTAATCTTTTGACAGAAGCTTCAGTCCCTTTACCTTTTATGGTGATTATGAATCCCTCCCCATCATCTTCTCTATTGTGAAAACCGCCATTGTCTTTTTTTTCCATATTAATAGAAGTATCACTTATTTCAACATTTTTGTAAAGGAGAGCTTTGAGGTCTTCAACAAATCTCTGGAGAGAAGCACGAGTCCCTTGGACTTGTATATTAAGTGTAAAATCGGTTATCTGGATTTCTCTCTTGTGCTCAGCATTCATAACTTGGTCTTCTACTGTCCGGGGCAAATGAGTGAAGCAATCAACTGTAAAGAAATTTAAAAAGGTATTGTGAAGCAAATGCTTTTTCTTAAATTCCAACATACCGGGCACCATACATAATGTCTATTAATTCCTTTTTTTAAAAAAATGATATGTATTAAAAGTTTAAAAATTACAGAAGAAAAAAAGAAATAACTATAAAGTAGAAAAAAAACAATAACAAAACACATAAAACATATAAAAACCATACAATAATACAGCAAAAAAACAGACAAAAAAGAAACTAAAAAACACATCCAATATTCCATGTCTTTACCTTTCCTTAACTTATTTCATCGACCTCCTCACACCTCCCTTTTTTTTATTCTAGTTCAATTTACTATTTCAGCAAGTTCTTCCCATCTTTCTCAATTTTGATTCTATAGTTTTAATGATCTAACCTTAATTTTTTTCAATTTAACCCGATATCAATCAACTTTTACTTAATTCTTTGTTGCATTTCTACTAAAACCATGTTAATTCATTCCCGCATCCTTCTAACACTCATTAATTTTACAATGTTTCTGTAAGTATACTTTAAATTTTTTCCAATCTTCTTCCACCGACTCTTCTCTCTGGTCTCGAATTCTGCCAGTCATTTCCGCCAGTTCCATATAGTCCATCAACTTCATCTGCCATTCTTCCCTGGTAGGTAGATCTTGTGTCTTCCAGTATTTCGCAATGAGTATTCTTGCTGCTGTTGTAGCGTACATAAAGAAAGTTCTATCTTTCTTTGGCACCAATTGGCTGACCATGCCCAGGAGAAAGGCCTCTGGTTTCTTCAGGAAGGTATATTTATATACCTTTTTCATTTCATTATAGATCATCTCCCAGAATGCCTTAATCTTTGGGCATGTCCACCAAAGGTGAAAGAATGTACCTTCAGTTTCATTACATTTCCAACATTTATTATCGGGCAAATGATAGATTTTTGCAAGCTTGACTGGTGTCATGTACCACCTATAAATCATTTTCATTAAATTCTCTTTTAAGGCATTGCATGCCGTAAACTTCATACCAGTGGTCCATAACTGTTCCCAGTCAGCCATCATAATATTATGTCCAACATCTTGTGCCCATTTAATCATAGCAGATTTCACCATTTCATCTTGAGTATTCCATTTCAACAGCAAGTTATACATTCTTGACAAATTCTTAACTTTAGGGTCTAACAATTCTGTTTCCAACTTTGATTTTTCCATCTGGAAGCCAATTTTTTTATCCAAATTATACACCTCCATTATTTGATAATAATGGAGCCAATCTCATACTCTGTTTTTTAATTTTTCAAAACTCTGCAGTTTTAATCTGTCACCCTCTTGTTCCAAAATTTCCCAATACTTCGGCCGTTTGGCCTCCATATTGAGTTTTTTCTGAGCCTTTGCTTCCATTGGTGACAGCCATCTTGGGGTTTTATTTTCTAGCAAATCCTTATATCTTATCCAGACATTAAACAGTGCTTTTCTTACTATATGGTTTTTAAACGCTTTCTGTGCTTTAACCTTATCATACCACAAATATGTATGCCAACCAAATACATTATTGAAACCTTCCAAATCCAAAACGTCCGTGTTTTCAAGAAGCTTCCATTCTATCAGCCAGCAAAAAGTGGCTGATTCATAATAAAGTTTTAAGTCTGGCAGGGCAAATCCACCTCTTTCTTTAGCATCAGTTAATATCTTAAATTTTATATGAGGCTTCTTGCCCTGCCAGACAAATATGGAGATATCTCTCTGCCACTTCTTGAAACAGTCCATTTTGTCCAAAATTTACAGTGTTTGAAACAAAAACAGCATTCTTGGCAATACATTCATTTTAATCACAGCAATTCGGCCTAACAACGATAGCTTCAAATTTGACCATATTTCTAAATCTTTTTTCACTTCAGTCCAACATTTTTCATAATTATCCTTAAATAAATTCACATTCTTAGCAGTCATATTAACCCCTAAATATTTCACTTTCTTAACCAGTGTCAGTCCTGTCTCCTTCTGAAACTTCTCTCTCTCAATCTCTGTTAAGTTCTTTTCTAATACCTTAGTTTTCATCTTATTCAACTTAAAACCTGCCACCTGACCAAATTCTTGGATTAATTCTAATACTCTTTTAGTACTAGATTCTGGCTCCTGTAAAGTCAATACTAAATCATCAGCAAATGCCTTCAATTTGTACTGTTTCGCTCCCACTTGTATACCTTTTACCAATTGGTCCCTTCTAATCATATTTAACAAAACCTCCAAAACCGATATAAAAAGCAATGGAGAGATTGGGCAACCTTGTCGTGTTCCTTTCTCAATCTTAAATTCTTCCGTCACTACATTGTTCACAATTAATTTGGCCTTCTGTTCTGAATAAATTGCATTTATACCATTTCCAAAACCTTGACCCACCCCCATCCCCAATAAATTCTTCTTCGTAAAACTCCAAGAAATGTTGTCAAAAGCTTTCTCCGCATCCACAAATATCAAAACTGCTTTGGTATTAATCTTCACTTGTAATTTTTCTAAAATATTAATTATATTCCTCATATTGTCAGATAAGTTGCCCGGGAGAAAGCCCGCTTGATCTTTATGAATTTCTTCCATTAACACCTTTTTTAATCTTTTAGCCAAAATATCTGCAAAAATTTTATAATCCACATTAAGCAATGATATGGGGCGCTAATTCTTAAGTTGTGTCTTTTCAGTCTCTGTTTTCGGTATAAGTGTGATGCAAGCTTCCTTCCACGACTCTGGTGCCCTTTTCCCTTCCAGTATTTCATTACAGACTTCCTTTAAAGGTTGTATTACCCATTCTTTCAAAGATCTGTAATAAAGAATCATAGAATCATAGAGTTGGAAGAGACCACAAGGGCCATCGAGTCCAACCCCCTGCCAAGCAGGAAACACCATCAGAGCACTCCTGACATATGGTTGTCAAGCCTCTGCTTAAAGACCTCCAAAGAAGGAGACTCCACCACACTCCTTGGCAGCAAATTCCACTGTCAAACAGCTCTTACTGTCAGGAAGTTCTTCCTAATGTTTAGGTGGAATCTTCTTTCTTGTAGTTTGGATCCATTGCTCCGTGTCCGCTTCTCTGGAGCAGCAGAAAACAACCTTTCTCCCTCCTCTATGTGACATCCTTTTATATAGTTGAACATGGCTATCATATCACCCCTTAACCTCCTCTTCTCCAGGCTAAACATGCCCAGCTCCCTTAGCCGTTCCTCATAAGGCATCGTTTCCAGGCCTTTGACCATTTTGGTTGCCCTCCTCTGGACACGTTCCAGTTTGTCAGTGTCCTTCTTGAACTGTGGTGCCCAGAACTGGACACAGTACTCCAGGTGAGGTCTGACCAGAGCAGAATACAGTGGCCCTTGGTGATTACTTCCCTTGATCTAGATGCTATACTCCTATTGATGCAGCCCAGAATTGCATTGGCTTTTTTAGCTGCCGCGTCACACTGTTGGCTCATGTCAAGTTTGTGGTCAACCAAGACTCCTAGATCCTTTTCACATGTACTGCTCTCAAGCCAGGTGTCCCCCATCTTGTATTTGTGCCTCTCATTTTGTTTTGCCCAAGTGCAATACTTTACATTTCTCCCTGTTAAAATTCATCTTGTTTGTTTTTGCCCAGTTCTCTAATCTGTCAAGTTCGTTTTGAAGTGTGATCCTGTCCTCTGGGGTGTTAGCCACCCCTCCCAGTTTGGTGTCATCTGCAAATTTGATCAGGATGCCCTTGAGTCCATCATCCAAGTCGTTGATAAAGATGTTGAATAAGACCGGGCCCAAGACAGAACCCTGTGGCACCCCACTAGTCACTCTTCTCCAGGATGAAGAAGAACCATTGATGAGCACCCTTTGGGTTCGGTCAGTCAGCCAGTTACAAATCCACTGAGTGGTAGCATAGTCAAGGCCGCATTTTACCAGCTTCTTTACAAGAATATCATGGGGCACCTTGTCAAATGCCTTGCTGAAATCAAGGTAGGCTACATCCACTGTGTTCCCTTCATCTACCAGGCTTGTAATTCTGTCAAAAAACGAGATCACGTTAGTCTGACATGACTTATTTTTCAGAAATCCATGCTGACTATTGGTGATCACAGCATTCCTTTCTAGGTGCTCACAGACTGTTTGCTTAATGATCTGCTCCAGAATCTTCCCTGGTATTGATGTCAGACTGACTGGGCGGTAATTATTTGGGTCCTCTCTTTTCCCCTTTTTGAAAATAGGGACAATATTTGCCCTCCTCCAGTCTGCCGGGACTTCACCTGTTCTCCAGGAATTCTCAAAGATGACTGCCAGTGGTTCTGAGATCACATCTGCCAGTTCTTTTAATACTCTTGGATGCAGTTCATCTGGCCCTGGAGACTTGAATACATCTAAACTAGCCAAGTATTCTTGT